GCGAGACTGGGGAAGACCTAGCTGATGGCTCCTATCCTATGCCGGGCTCAGCTGCTTGTCTCGGCTGGGTTGGGGAGGATGAGACTTCCTCTTCCCCTGCACAGCATCCAGGGCCGGGTCAGACTCACCCCCTGATTTCTCCCCAGGCTGCAGGAAGCTCTGCAAACTCCCTTCCTCTTCGCTTCCTGCGCCCATCACTCCTCAGCTGCAGGGGAAGGGATCACTGTACAGGGAGCTGCTCTGGCATCTGCCCAATCCCTGTGCATCTAGACCCCTTCATACCCAGACCTTCCTGCCAAGCCTCACCCCCCCTCACCCAGAACCCCACCTGCCAGGCCTTGCACCTGGACCACCCTGACAACTTGCATGGATCCCCACTCCACCCAGCCCCAACCAGCTGCACCTGGATCTCCACCCCACTGAGCCCCACTCCCCCAGCATATGGACCCCCCCACACACTAAAACATCCAGACTCCCCATTGAGCTCTATCCACATCCAACCCCCACCCCGCTGAGCTCCAACCACCTTCACCTGGATCCCCCTGCAGAGTCCCATTACCGTTGCACCCAGAACCACCGCCAACAAACCACTGTGCATCTAGATCCTCCCTGCACTCAACTTGCCCCACACAGAACCCTCTCAACCCACACCTGGATCTTCCCACACTAAGCCCCTCCACACTTGGATCCTGCCAGGCTGAGCTTGCCTGCCCACACCTGGTGCACCTGGCAGAGGGGCAGGGCTTGTGGGGTGTTTCTGGGGCAGGCCCGGTCCTTGCATTGTCTCAGGGTTTGGTGCAGCCTCACCACTGAGTCTGTGTCCCGGGGTGGGGGGAGCTGCAGAGTGATCTCCCACCTCTGTGCAGGCAGTGGCCTGGGCTGGTCTTACCATGAGGCGGTTGCCTCAGGTGCCAGACTGTGGGGGGGGGGGGCGCCACTAGGACCCAGAGTGTAGAAAATTTTGTCGACTGCTGGTGCATATGTATTCTCTCTACTCTAGATGCACAGAGATGGTGGAGTGCTGTGCTGGAGGAAGGAGGGCACAAGAGACGTAATAGGCAGGCAGGAGAAAAGGTGAACGGGAATAACAGAAAGCACCAGGAGCTACAGGGAGAGAGAGAGAGAGAGAGGAGGAGGAGACACTTATGTACCTCTCTAGCACCCGCAGGAGCCTGGACTGATTAACACCAGCTTCTCAGGGAGCTTCCTGTTTCCTGCTGCTTTCCTGAACCCACTTGAGGAGAACAGGCAGTCAACTGAAGTAGTAGGAGCCAGTTAGGCCCTTAAGATGCTGGTATCTTCTCTCACTCAGGCCCTGCTACCAGCCTGCTTATTTGTCCCCTTCAACTGAGTGTTGAGAGCCACTATAGCTGGCACAGAACAGCAGTCATGAGTGAAAGAAGAAAACACCCCTCTGGGGCAGCATTCAGAAAAAGAAAGAAAGCAAAGGAAGCTTTTCTATCTAAGCAGGAAGGAGCTCTCCTGAGATACATAGACACAAATGTTCACAGTGAGCCTTCCGGCCCCAGTGAGGATGTGAGTGGTGAGGAGATGCCTGATCTTCCAGTTAGTCAGAGTGTGGGTGACCTGGCAGCTACTGCAGCATCCATATCTCCATCTCAAATGGATGTAACCATGCACATTCCTGAAGAAAAGTGTAGATCAGAGAAGAGTGTGGTGGAGGCGCAAGAAACAGCTGCTGCTGAGTTTAGTTCCTTAAATCTAGATAATCCAGGACTGTGGACCCACTTGAGCAGTAGCCTGAGGGACTTCCTTGTGCTGCATGGGGCACAGCAAGTGAAAAACTTCATGTTCCCCAAAGACAATGAAAATAGAAGTTTCCATCCAACACATTACTGGCGTGAAATCCCCAATGGTGACAAAGTGGCGAGGCCATGGCTTACGTACTCAAAAACCCAGAATGCTGCATACTGTTTTTGTTGCAAACTCTTCCAGTCTAATGTTCCAGCCACAATGGGTTCTACAGGAACAAAGGACTCGAAAAATCTGGCTAGAAATCTGGCATGCCATGAGAAGGCAGCAAATTACCAGAGAGCATGCCATAGGTGGAAAGAGCTTGAGATGAGACTAAGGTTAAAGACCACCATAGGTGATCAGCATGAAGAGAAGGGTGCATCAGAGTCTCTGTACTGGCAAAATGTTATGAAAAGGCTCATTGCCATTGTGAGAATGCTTGCTACCCAAAACCTAGCACTGCGTGGCACTTCAGATCAGCTGTATGTGCCAAACAATGGAAACTTCCTTAAAATTGTGGAGCTGATGGCTGAGTTTGATGCTGTACTCCAGGAGCATCTAAGAGTCACCACCCATGAAATGTACATACACCACTACCTTGGAAAAAATTCAAAATGAGATCAAAGTTACTGGCAACAAAAGTCAAACAAAAGATTGTGGTAGATCTGAAGTCAGCAAGATATTACTCTGTTATTCTGGACTGCACACCTGACATCAGCCATACAGAACAAATTACTTTATGGTGCGTTTTGTAACAACAGAACCTAGTGAAAATGTCCCTGCAATGGTGACTGTCAGAGAGCATTTTCTAGAATTTATTGACATTGATGATTTAGTTGGGAATTGGTCCTGCTTTGAGCAGGGGGTTGGACTAGATGACCTCCTGAGGTCCCTTCCAACCCTGATATTCTATGAGACTACAGGAGCTGGTATGACAAATGTGCTTCTTAAAAAGCTGGAAGATACGGGAATTGCGGTAGCTAACATGAGAGGTCAGGGGTACAATAATGGTGCCAACATGAGAGGAAAGAACAGAGGAGTGCAGACATGGATCCGAGAGTTAAACCCTCAAGCTTTTTTTGTCCCATGCAGTTCTCATTCATTGAACTTGGTGGTCAGTGATGCAGCATCAGCTTCCAGTGAGGCTTCTGAATTTTTTAATGTAATTCAACGCATCTATGTATTTTTCTCTGCATCAACTCATCGATGGCAAATTTTGAAGCAACATCTGGGAACATCCTCTCTGACACTGAAACCACTGAGTGCCACACGATGGGAAAGTTGAGTGGCGGCGATAAAGCCTATCCAACACCAAATTGGGAAGATAGATGATGCCATAGTTGCCATTATGGAGGACAATGCTATGACAGGAACTGTTCGTGGGAGAACAGTGGCAGAGGGAAATGGAATCACCAGAAACATATATAACTTCAAATTTCTGTGTGGCTTAGTGTTGTGGCATGACATACTGTTTGAAATAAATGTTGTAAGCAAGAGACTCCAAGATGTTGACCATGATATATCTAGAGCAATGGAACAACTGGACAAAGCAAAGTCATACCTACAGTCTTACTGGTCAGATGAGGGATTTCAAAACGTTCTGAAGAGTGCACAGAAGTTGGCAGAGGAACTTCACACTGAAGCTATTTTCCCACCCATTCAAGAATACAAGAGTCACCGAAGAAGACATTTTGATTACTAGGCACAGGATGATCCATAAGAGACCCCAAACAACAATTCAAAGTTGAATTCTTTATCCAGGTGCTAGATTGTGCAAGTTGAAGAACGTTTCATGCAGCTCAGGGAACACAGCAAGAAGACCTACACCTGAAGAAGACCTACACCAGCAATGCAGGGCACTAGAGACAGCGTTGACACATGACATACGCGATATTGATGCAAGTGATTTAGGTGATGAACTGAAAGCCCTTTTAAGATGCATTTCAGCAGGATCAACTCCAAAGGCTGTTCTGGAATATATGTGCACAAATAAGATGACCACCCTTTTTCCAAATGCTTTTGTTGCTCTGCGCATACTTCTAACACTTCCTGTAACAGTTGCCAGTGGAGAACGCAGCTTCTCCAAGCTGAAGTTAATAAAAACACATCTACACTCCACAGTGACACAGGAGAGGCTGGTCGGCCTTGCAACCATCTCAATAGAGCATGAGCTGGCCCAGACTGTGGACCTTCAGGAAGCAGTTTAAATCTTTGCAACCAAGAAGGCACGGAAAGCACCACTTTGATTATTCAAACAGATAAAAATGCCAGTGTTTACTATGCAGACAAGAAAAGTTACATTTGCTGTTCAGTCGTTTGAAAGTTAAGTGCTACTTAAAATTTTTGAACAAGGCATTTTAAGTTGTTAGTTCTCCTTTATTGGGGTAGGCAGCAGAGGAGTAGAACAGGAAGAAGGCAGAATTGAGACCTTTCAAAGTTCTGACCCAAGCGAGGGGGCATGGAGGTGTCATTTGAGCTCCCCTCCTCAGGTGCCAAAATGTTGTGGGCCGGCCCTGGCAGTGGCCTGTGCTCCCCAATGCCATGCTGAAGCCTACACATTTATTCGACAAATAAAATTTGTAGAATTTTTAAATATTGTGTGCAGAATTGTTTGGCACAGAATGCCCTCAGGAATAAGACCAATAACAGTGTCTGTTACCCTCTGCTGCCCTTGTCTGTTGTATGCAGCTGTTTTGTCCTCATATACTTAGATTGGAAGGTCTTTAGGGAGGGAGGAAGGGAGGGAGGGGAGAGAGAGAGTGAGTCCTAACATAATAGTATTGATTGGGGCCCCCAGTGTTATTGCTGTACAAACAAACAACTTGTCACAGGGGCTCAGTGGATTTTGTAATACTAAAAGAAAGTAATGGACAAATAGCACTTCCTTCAGCCAAGATTAAAGAAAAGTATGATCTGAGTATCTTTGCATATCAATGGGTGTTTCTCACTCCTCTAACTTTGAGACACTCGCAGGATTTATAAAGAATAATAAAATATAGTGGTTTAATGATTTAAGCATTTAAAACAGGGAGTTGGGGAGGGGAAGTTATGAACAAGCAATTATGAAACTTCAAAAACTGGTTCAATTATCCCCAGGAGGTGCTGGGATTTCTAAATAAGAACAGCCATACTCAAGAGTAATTAAGTAAAATTGAATGAAATTGAAAAGCCTGGCACTTCAGATGATTATCAACAGCAATTGCGAAGTCTGTCTTTTTCATAAAGTAATTAGCTTTTTGTTTCAGATTGATGTCCTCAAGGCAGATATGGAAAGTGCGGAGTGGAAAATTTTGGAAAACCTGATTCTGGAAGACATTGTTGAACAGATAGGACAATTGGTCTTTGAAGTCCACATTCATTGGCCTGGATTTGAGGTCAGTGGCAATGACAGCACGGTGGTCCGATACTGGTACAGTCTTCTTAAAGAATTAGAACTGAAGGATTTCAGGCTTTTTCACACTTACAAAGACTTATTGAAACCACAGATGTTTCTGAAGAAGGAAGCCTTCAATGCAAGTAGCTGTTACACACTAAGCTGGGTGAACACAAGATGGAAATAGCATAAAGGAATTGATGACATGTAATCATCCCACTCAACAGCATTAGTGAAAAGGACATTGGAGCAGCTGACAAAAGTTACTGAACTTGCAAACCGAGGCCCTGCTATCAAAACGAATTGGTTTTCTGTTTCTCAGCAGTATCACAAAAGCTGGATGTTATCGTGCTTTGCTTCTGAGTACTAGAAAGAGATCTGGCGTTGAAATTCTTTTGTACAGTGCATCTTCCATGGTTACATTGATAGACTATTAGAAACAGATGAGAGACTTTCTAAGTGTTTGTCTATAGTGGTTAACAGTTCTCCACACATGGCTGTGGATTGACCCCAGCCTCCCTAAAGGTCAGCAAAGAGAGTTTGCCTACTCCGTCCCTGAAAATTCACTGGGAGCGGCTCTAGTACAGTGTACACCACGAGACGTTGCTGAAAAAAATCATTGATCCAAATAAGTTACTTTCTCATAAATGATTATGCTTAGACTAGCACCTTTTATTACTTTAAAAACAAACACTCCCATGATAATTATGGCAGATTGTTGTCTTCCCATCAACAATTACTTAAACGGGACAGTCAATGGGAAATCTAGTCAATTTTTAAAAAGGTGTCATATATTTTCAGATACTACACCTGCCCCCGAACGTATACGCATGCCAGCTCCTACTCCACATGCATTCTTCACTCAAATCAGTCCCCCTTCCAATGGCTAACAAGCTGAAATCACTCAACTGGCCCATCCAGGTCTCCCTCAGAAGCCCAACTGGCAGGCTCAGCAGGCAATATATTTTAAACTTCCCAGAAAAGTCATTTCCCCCTCACTTTACCAGAAACATAATAAAGGAGTGCATGGTTTATGTGAACATTTTGAAAACTTTAGCCCATCCAATACTACCCATGTGAGGCAGGAGGGGGTTAAGAGAGAATTTAGTATTTTTATGTAATGTATTCCCATTAAACTTTGTATTAAATAAAATGCACCCAGTCTCCCTTGCTTTGGTACTTCCCCTTCCTTTTCCGTTCTTTAAACTTCCTTTACTTTCCCATTTGCTCTGAGTCTTGGTGTTTCTCTCCTCCCACTCATTTTTCTGTCTGTCCGCAATTCATTTTACTATGTTTAATAAGACTTTCCTCAATCATTCTTTTCCTGTTTTGTTCCTTTAATTCTCTCTCTCCCCTTATAAGCCTAGTATGTGTCTCATTCCTTTGGGCACACCTGTCTTCACAAACTCCCTGCTGCGCTGCTACACCGCACACACTGGCATGCTATATAGACCTGCCTTCCAAGGCTTGGCAAACAGAGGAAGTATATGTACCATTTTCCTAACAGTTGTGTACCATACTAAATGGGTGCCCTGCTACACAATTTCCCCAGACCATTAACTAGTCCCACACAAATACATCAAGTCAGTTCTCCCCCGCCCCCCTTCCTGGCTCCTCTTACAAGCAGCACCTTCTCCAGTCAAGATGGTAGCAGCAGCCTGCTCAGCTCAATGTGAGGATTCTCCTCCTCTTCCCTCTTTCCTTCCCCTGCTGCTTAGTACTGCTTCCCGTGGCTCCTCCCCCAGCAACCTCCAAGCCACCCATTCAGAACATAGGAATTACCATGGTGGAGCAGACTAGTGATCCATCTACTCTTTAGCATGAGCCAGTGCTAGATGCTTCAGCGGAAGAGTCAACTTCAGTGCAAGTTGACAATTATGGAATAACTCACCTCCCTCCCCACCAAGGAATTTTCTTCCTACTCCCCTCAGTGAGAGGCTGCTTTATCTCCTGATGCAACTGGGTTTCTCTCACTTCCAAACATTCAAAACAGGTAAAAGAAGTCCTTGCTGTTTATGTGGCTAATGTTCAATTCTTTTTTGATTCCTAGTAAGTTCTTGGCCTCATTGTTATCCTATGGCAGAGAGCTCCACAAGAGGCTGGGGCTTCCAGACAGATCAATGTATAGAGGATCCAGTTTATAGATAAGCATTCAATTTCCATTTCTGTACTAACTTGGGTCCAGGCAGCGGAGCTCCGATGTCATGCTGAACAAACCCGAATAAACGCTGTAATTACCGATTGTCTCCCAAGAACAACACTGACGAAGCCCTGGAGCGAAGCACTGCACTGACTGATTCACAACATCTACCTGTAGTTAGAAATTCCATGGAGGGAGCTTTTCATGGGGTCAGTCTACACCAATGAAGTAAATTAGTGTTCCTCTCAAGAAGCTATGATCCTATGGAATGATCTTTGAATGAAAGTTGAGACGGAATTCCTTCTTTACTACAAGCATGTTGAATGCAAGCTCTTATGTAGTGAACAGTAATATCCTTTAGGGGACACACAGCCATAAGAGTTTGTATAAAAATGCCTAAAGAAGTCAGACTTCCTCAACTGTTACATGGATCTGACTTAAATGTGATCACTAACAATCCCAAGAATGTCTGAGTCGTCATTTTTCAGAAGTCAGATTGGGATAGTATAAATCTGGGTGTGATTAACAACTTGGTTTTAGAAATAGTGCCACATCATCTTTTCCAGTGGGACAGTCTTAGAATAACTAAACTGGTAATCTATAATAACTAGCTCCAGACTAGTAGTGTAAGAAAGCACAAGTTAGAGGTTCAAAATGTGGATTATGTCAACTTTTCCCAAAAAATTAAATTAAGATTCTAAAGGAGACACACAAGTTTATTATAGTTTGTCTCTGAAACAATATAGGAGTATAATTATGGAAGTGGACTGAAGTTCCATCATGCATCTCTTGACGTTACAGCAGACTTGTAACTTTAGAATACAAAGAGCTCATCACTTTTCTCAAGATTCCCAAATAAAATCAGGAGTGAGCAGGGTGGGAGCAAAAGTTCTGGTTCTGTACCTCCTGCAGGAAAATATTGCAGTAGCTACAGGAGTTCTTTAGAATTTACGGTCTTAGATTAGACAGGAAACTCTTTAGCGTAGTGCAGGTCGTTATACTATTTTGGGAAAAAATGAGCAATTCTAGTTTGCCTTATATACTATCGAGGCCTTCAGCTTTAGCGTCCCTGGGTCTGGCTGTAACAGGTAGGTGTCCTCACGATGTTGGGCCTTACTTTTGGTCTCCCCATATTTGTCAAAGTCTATTCTCATTTAAAGAGCCCAATCTCAGGTTGAAGTAGGGGCTGAAATTTACAAAGTCTTTCCATCTTCCCCATATGCTAATGAATGCTAACAGTTTAATTTAAAAATGCTTCTCCCATCACATATCAAACAGTAACGTGGGACAAGTAATGCCACATACGGTGCAGAAGGCACTTCTTCACCTGAATCTGCCATTGGAATCTGAGAAGATGACTGTACAATGGAGCAGAACCTGTTATTTCTAGAAGACATCCATCCTGCTTTCCTACTTGTTCCTTGTCTAGTGCACTTACCTTCGCTCAAAAGGAAGGGCCTGAATTATCTGTCTGCTTTATAGGTACAAAGTGGATCATACTGATAATCTTTCAATAGCAAAGGAACTCATTCAAAAGTGTAAATTCAAAGCTTGTTGCTTTTGGAAATGGAGAGCTAGAATGTCAGATCATTAGTATCATAGCACTTAACGACACATTTGCTTTGCATTAGTAACTGTATTGATATAATTGATTAATTCCAGCCTGAGTGACTGACTATATTTTAATTTACAGTTGTTTTAAAAGCAGTCAATCCTACATACAGCTGGTGTCTTGTAGAGCTGTAGAGTGTAACCCTGCTCATCACTATGCCAAACAATCTCATTTTTCAGGCACGCTCCCCATGGGCATGTAGGACACAGGATGGGTGGTCACTATAGCAAACAGCAGTCCTGTGCTGAGGCATGTTGAAAGGAACTGTTCCATTTTTAGAACAGAGAATTGTTTTATTTACAGGTTTTTAAACCTGATCAGGAAAGACAGTAGCAACTCTGGTGCCCCGGCCCCCTCCAAACATAATTTGTGTTTACACCTGAGGCCAGACTTTGATCAAGTCTGAATCATGATGTATGAGTCTATGCTAGCAGGACAGGCATCAGTACTTGAAGGATCAAAGGAAGCGCAAGAAAAACATGCTGATCCTTTGTGCTATCCCTTAAAATAATGATTCTGAGCAGATGCAAACAAGGCTGTTGCAGGAATCCCTAGGATAAAGCACCTGGAAGGAAATACTCTCTCGGGTGAATTATTTGACAGTTGAGCCCAGCTGTTATCCAAATTGTTGGTTTTAGTTCTGTCTCTTTCTTTTTGGCTAGCATTATTAGATGCTTTTCTGCCCTCGAAAGAATTTCTGGAATTATTTAGTAGGTCACTCCTGGTCTCTTCCTCCTTGTTTACATAACATGACAGTAATTGTAGTTTATTTAGAGCTGTTTTAATGCTGAAATTTTCAAGGGTAAAGTCACAAACACTGACCTAAGTCCAGACACATTTTTGCATCTTTCTGCCGCTTGGGACTTACAGTCTTGTATGGACAATATCTAAATAAGACTTTCACTTGAACAATGCATTTTCTTAAATGAAAGTCCCTGTTGAGAGATAACTATGTTTTGTCATTGTAAGATATTTCAGCTGATTCTGGAATAAGCCTTTGCACAGATCATCTGCTCTACTTCACTTGATCTGATAGCCAAACCACAGAATGATAAAATACAAGCCCACTTCACTATATGTACAGATAAGTTCTCAAGCCTGAAGAAGAAACATTCCAGTTCATAGATTTTGACTAGATTACCCAATATAAGTAATTATATTTTCAACTGTTCCTGAAAGGAGGGTGTGTGTCAGTGTGTACAAACACCCACCGTTCAGGAACAGTTGGGGGGAAAAAATAAGTGCCTATAGTGATGATCTCTTCCTTTGTATATTTAATATAAGATTCATTTTTAAATCAAAATCACTGGACCACAATGTAATCCAAAGGCTCTTAAATTAAACCCCCACTTACCACAGGCCTGAAAGCACAGGTTGCATATACAATAGTAAAGCTTTAAAAAAGTTTCAGCTCATGAGTGTCCATCTTTTGATCATACGGTTCTTTCAGAGCCCTAAAACAAAAGGATTAAAGCCTTTTTCTATAACATATTAATGGAAAGTCCATTTAAGGGACAAAAGCCCAGTTTAAGAAATAGGGTTTGGAATAGTTATGCTTTGTACCTCTCTGGGATTGATGATAGCATCTAACAAGCCTCAAACTGGGTTAGTTCTCTTTTGAATATGTTTCTGGAGAGGGAAGGCCTTCTTCATTCTTTTCCTCCTTTGGAAGAGTAATTTCAGTGAGGTAGAGTTTACAGTCTTTGAAGGGAATGATAATGAGACCAAGCTTTCATATTAAAACCCCTTTAATCCACAGTCTAATCCATATAATGTAGAAAAAAATGCATAACAGGATAAAGAGCCATGACATCCCTATAAATCTCAACCTCTTGCTAATAAGCTAACAAATAGTCTCCTCTGAGGGGCACAGGGTGAACTAACAGCAGGGGTTACTATTCCACATTCTCTACCACCTCGCCAGAGGCTGTTTCAGAGCTAACAGGAGAGGCTGCTGTGATTTGGGTCTGCCGTGAGATCTGGAACAGACGATTAATTACCTTTTGGACAACAGATGCAAAGCCACAAACCCTTCTAAAATAGAGGAGCCACCTCTGAGTGAGACATGACCATACAGTCACTTCTAAAGAGCCTCAATATGCAAAAATGCAAATACGAAATGGAAAGCATTAGGAGTCAGGTAACTCCAAACTACTTTTTTCTTAAAAAGAAACACAGATGAACTCTACTAATTGGAATTCTTCAGTTCCCACTTTTACCTCCCACCCCCAACCCATACTTTTAACTTCAACCTTATTTACCCTTTTTGAAGTGGAGCCAAAGCCAAGTTCATTTTGGAGGAAAGCTGTGACTTCAGACGAATAGGTATGTACCCTTCTTTATGGAGATGATGAGTGCTCCAGGTGAGCCCAGCCTGACTAGTAGAACTGTGGCCCTGAGAAAGTCTTAATCCATAATTAAAATTGAAGCCACTTGTGAATTTTATTTCTTTAGGGAAAAGGGCATGACTTGCCACTAGCACTTACCTCTTCAAGGAGATGAAGGAGAGAGAGAAGAGCACCTGGCTGTGGAGAAAATGGTCAGACGAAAAGCTCACCACCATTTTGGCATCATTTGAGAACTACAGGGAATGGTTCTTTTACCTCTCTTTTTTTTTTTTAAGGTATTTTTCATGCAAGCCACCTTGGATTTTGACTAAAACCCTCCCCCCACAGGAGACAGACAATGTGATGTAGGTGTGCTGAGGACAGATCAGAGACTGGAGGGAGAAGTGTCACATGAGGACTCAGAGGCAAAAAACCTCAGTTAACCAGCTAATCTGCCCGAGAGCAAATAAGAGCTACCTAGGAAAGGTGAACTGGTATAAGCTAAGGTGTGAGTTTAAAATCACTATAAATTATACCGACAACTCACCATGAAGACACTTAAAAATGCACTCATGCTCCTTTGGAAGCACACAGTGAGTTACTGTATAACTACTGGTATAACTATTAAGGTATAATTCTACTGTTACAACTGGCAAAGTTTCCCATGTAGACAAGCCCTAACCCAGCTCTAGCCTGAGGTAGTCCAGAAACATGTCTTAGTTACGGACCATATTTAAGCTTCATAAGTCTCCACATTATTGAAATTGCTTCCCGTAAGACCATTGAGGAAAATCAAGCTTGATCAGTCCTGTTGCTCTTTTTACTAAGAGATACTGAACTAGGTTTGAATCACAACTTCACATTCTAGTTCTTATTCTGACCATTAAAGTCAAATATACCTAGCACTCTCAATGGCCTATTGTACAGTAAGTTAACAGTGCGCCTCAAACAGGAACAATACCACCAAACACTTTAATGTTACTTTAACATTATAACAAGGTAATAAAAGGGTTTAAGGTCAAATTTTCAAAAGCACATAAGTGATTGAGGTGCCTAAGTCAAAGAAACGTCTAAGTGCCCAAGGCTCCTAAGTCATGTAGGCACTTTTGACAATTTCACCCTTCAATAAACAAGTGAGGTCTTCTTGGACTGCTACAAGAGAGTCACAGAACTTCCAACATTCAAAGAGCTTGACTAGAGAGAGATTCATATTCATTTTCCTACAGGGCAACAGTCCTCTAATTTATATTTCATAGATACTTTTAAGTCAACTTAAAGTAGTAAGTCCTAAACGTTATTCAGAGAAACAACTTACATATCAAAGAAGTATCCTGGTATCTTGCTGGTATCCTAATACTAGTCTAGTTAAAGCAGCTTTTCATAGTTCTGTCATCCGTCCCCACCCCGTCCCCCACCCCCTTATTAGGTCTGAGGTTTTTGACCAACAAAAATGAGACTTTTGTTATGATTAATTGGGAGAGACAGGGTGAAAAGATTTTGTGCCTGGGCAGATAGATTTTCAAAACGAGTTTGCAAGGCTTGAAGGCACGGTATTATAAACTAGTATTCTAAAGCAGCTGTTTGGAGTTGAAAATTGGCTCATGTTATAAATCAGTTTGTCTGAAGGTACAGTATTTTTGTGCAATGCAATGAGAATGTAAGGAGTAAGCAGCCGCATCTTATTGAAAACTATTACCAAGTCTGTACAAGACAGAAGCTGAGGCCAGCGGCTTCAAAAGGAGGCAGCCCCTTTACCAGCAAGTGGCATGGAGGGTGTGGTGGTGGGAAACGCCCCACACAAAAGGAGAAATCCAGAAAAAGTTGGCATAAGGCTAAAGGAACTTTCAAAGTCTCCAAGGCAGAGCTCAGAAAAAATGATTTGGGTAGCTTGCTTATGTGCAAAATCCTCTTTGTGATATCCTAAAAGTATCTTAGTTGTAGTGGCAATAAGTTACTCAGATTTCCTTAAAATTACAGTAGATCAAGTGCAATGATTATGAAGCTGTCATAGGAACTCCATAGGCCAGGTTGTAAATATTAATTCGAACCAATATTGAGACTTACTTGACTCCACCCTTCACAAAAGAACTGCTTTCAGCTTGAAAATTTTGCATGCTTAGGCTTATACCAATGGAGAATTTATTGGGAAAATCTGAAGCATGCTGTTTTCTAGTTATGGGTCTCAATTCCCACCTCCCCTGCCCTGCCAAAAAATTACACCCGGGCCCCCCCCCCCCCCCGTCAGCCTACAGGTCCTCAAATTCTCCTACCCTTTATCTCCATTGAGAATTACTTCACAAGGCTAGTCTTTTCTCTTGGAGTCCACAGATCTTTATAAAATTGTTGGGGAGAAAAATCTTACAAATTAAAAGCCTCTGCAGGTTCCCATGCAGGCTTTAAAAATTCCACAAAGGATTAACTCAGTGAGCAACACCAGATGGAGACAAAGGATCTGATCTAGAAGGCAGGTTCTAGTTGAGTTCTGATGCAGGTTTTTACAGAAGTCTTTTTGTTGCAGACATTTAATTCACCAACTCCTATTGAGTGTGTAAGATCTGCACGTTACTCACAAAAGTTTATTTATCTCGTCCATAAATGGAAAATGACCTATCAGAGTTTAGTAGCTCCACTGGAGCATTTCTGCACTAGTGGTGTGCGCAAGTGGTGGGTGAATCTTCTGACTGAAAAAGAGGTTCTTGAATATCTATGCAGCGAAATAGTTCAAGTAAATATACTGTACAGTTAAAGTCATTGATACACAAAATCTAAGTGCTTTCTAAACAACAAGGAAAATCCTAGACAAGAATCTAATTAGGATACATTAAAGATCTGTTACTTTTGCAAAAAATTCTTATGGAATGTTATATCTGGCTTGCCTTGGCTTTTAAAGTTAAGGTCGGCTGTGGGACCCACATTCTCTATATCCCTGAACTCCTGTTGCTGTCCATTTTCTACTTAAGAATGTTTCAATTTTACTATCTACATCAGAGCCACCTGCCTAGCCTGAGAGCTCATCTTCAGTAGGAGATAGCTACATCTCATCTTGCCTCAAAACTGTAACCTGTCCTTACTCACTCCCCATATAGTCAATAGAGTCCAACATTTTCATGTTTCCACCTGCAGCACATATAACCTCCAAACATTCACCACCAAATTTCTATTCCTCTTCATACAGAGTTCTAAGTTTGTACTTGCCTTATATATTTGCATGAGTCTGAGGCCTGCCCATACACAAACAGATAGCCACTGGTACTCCCACTTTCTCCAAAAACAGACCCATCCTCATCTGTGCCACCCATGACAAGTCACCAAAGTACATGTATTGTAAATACCTATCAGAGGTGCCAATGTCAAATGGAGAGTGCACACTATAGTTGGGTATCAAGGCTGAGAAGAGTGTGTGTGTGTAATCTAAACTCTGAGTTTTCAGACTTTCAAATTTATTTTTGAACAAATTTCACCTTCACTCAGAAATGTCCGGCTTTCAAGTGTAGTTTCCCCTTGCTCCCCACGAGCTAGATATGAGAGTTGGAAAGGGCCTTTAGGAACTTATCTTGTCCAACATGACTATTCTTCCTAAGACATCCCTAATAAAACTGGATGATCAAACAACAATGGTTTGATCTACAATAATTTTATAATGTTAATTCAACAGTTATTCAATGTGGCTTGAAGGCTGACCAGTTTGTTGTTCTTTCCCTTATTTCCATTATTCATTCATAGTCAGATAATATGGTGCACAGTCTGGTATAAGAATTTAGAAAGACTTTTCTGCCCCCATTTGCTTAGCAAAATAATCAACATATTGTTTTAGTATCATCCAAGCAAGGAAAATAGTTCATTTGTACCTTGGCACCACTGGCAGTTAGGAAATGCCAAATCCCAAACTGAAAAGATAATGAATATTTGACTTGGATATGCTAGAAGTAAGGACTAAACTAAACCAGACTTTTGTACAAAAGATTTATTAAAAATAAGTTCTTAAAAAAAAGAGAAATTGTGACATGTATATACAGTAGCTTAGCATGGAAACAATATGGTGCATATAATACAGGAACAGTGAGTACTAAAGTGCACCCTGTACAAAGAATATGATTAAGGGACAGGGAATGTGGTTCTCTTTGAAATATGCTCCAGAAAAGCATGATAATTAACAGTATATGGAATTTACCTTGGGTTTTTTTTTTGGGGGGGGGGGAATTTCTTTTTATTATAAAGAAAACTTTCAAATAAAGATGGTTACGTAGAGGAACCTCCATGATCAGTATCATGTAAATGTTTAAGTCAAGATATGAATATAAGAACGCAGATGGAGGGTTTAGGGAACAGTCTGCAGGGTACACTCAGTTTGTTCATTGGGTATGTATGCTAAAGCCTTTGATCAGCTCTGTTTCGGTTATGGATCAATAAATCTTAATCACTGGTTGTGTACTCTAATAAATCAAAGAAACTTGGGTGCCATAGAATACTGCCAAAAAGTCTATTAATGGGTGCATCTTCAAGATCTACTGCAGTAGAGATTAAAGAGACTTTTCTTCTGAGCTATGCAGTTACAGAACACAAAAAAACTGCTGGTTTTCTACTTCTACACCATATACTGTGAGACATCCAGAATCGCAAACTAGAAAATACTGTTTTATTCTGAAAAAGTGGATCAAACAGAAAATAACTTATCAAATTAATATTTATTTCTGGCCACTTCACATGACTGTTCTCAGCTTCTCACAAACCTTGAAGTCATACTTAGAAGAGTAGCCTTTCAGCTGAGTCTTCTGCCTGGGAGATTTCCCATTTCCAAGACTGCGCAGTGCACTTCAATAGTGAAGAACCCGAAAACAGCTGGAAGTTCAAATCAAACCATCCTCAGCAGAGTTCATGTTTAGCAATCTCAGATGTTCACAAAAAGTCTTATAAAAATTTAGTTCCTTGCAGTGCCCCCTTCAGTCCCACAATTTAATAAGACCATCCCAGCCACAGGTGATGACCTTGGATGTTTCATGTGGATGCCAGACTGCGCCTATACAAACTTTGTCATGTGCTTTTAACCTACTGTAGAGTTTTGTCGTCTTCCAGTCCCAGATGTTAAGTTTTCCATCTGCATCACCTGATATCACATAGCTGTATTAAAAAATTAAAAGCTCTATTAAAAACTCTCAGAACTACTTTTATTATTTTCCATTTTTGGAAGATTATTATAAAGCAGACATTAAAATAAATGTTTTAAATTAATGCAAAAAACAGATTAAAGATAATTTTGTACTGGGGAATGGAAAAAATTTAGTAATCCAATAAACTTTCCATTCAAGAGAGTCTGTTTCAACAGACAGTAGGAATTCCAAAGAATTAGCATGCATGATGTGTTCTAAAGAGCCCAGGCTCTTGCTATGCACTGATTCATCACATCATCTGTGAGGTAAATGTGCTAAGTAATGTGATTATACCATGCATTATGTTGCTTGAGTAATAGAGCCTACTGAGAGGATAAGAGAAAATTCCAGGAAAAAACCCGAATTTGCAGAGATTTTTCTTTAAAAAAAAATCCCCTAAAAATGTGAACACTTTTGCAGTGCATTATGCTAATCATGCATATACTTGCTTTGTTATCTACAGGAAGTTAAATGGGCATAACGGTCTTAAAATGACACCAGTGTGACATCGCTAGTAAAGCTGCAGATGAGAGTTAGCTGTACAACTTCATTAGGCAAAGTAGAAGAACCAGGCTTCAATCTAGACTCAGTTTTGCTTTAAGTTTGAACCCAAGGTATGTGTGTGCAGGAAGGTCTTCTTGTGACTCTACTGCAGACCTGTGTGTAGGAAGCCAGTTGCTGCTCCCTGGTTCATGGCTACCTTGCTCCAGTGCAAGTTAGAACAGGAAGCATCCTGCTCAACTCTGTTGGTGCTATAAAGTCCCTTACACCAGCAGAGGATCAGGTGTAGTGGAGCTCAGGTCTGATAAGCACCCTTATAGCCCCAGCCTGTCCTCCTCTATATGCTTCCTCCTCTCACTTTCACTTTGAGGCGAGGTGGAGTGGGGTTGTGGCTGGTGTGGGAGGCAGTTTAGCTGCATCTTACAGTTGAGATTCTACCTACCTAGGGAAGACTTCTGGCTGGTTTAAGGTCATAGCAGCACAAAAACAGCCTTTGTAGAATGGAGAATTTAGGACAAAGTGTTCATTGAGAGTACTTCAACTAAATGTTCATTTCTTATACTACTGGGCTAAATGTTAGTACTGAATCCATTGAAGTTAACAAATGGCAAAGGGCAAATTCCCCTTTTAACTTCTGCAGAAAACTCTCTGTAGCCACACAGCAATGTTGGGTTAAAAGGACAGCAGCACATCAGTATATTACAAAGGGTTTCAAAAACAAATTTAGCAGGATCTCGTGACAACTTTAAGACAGAAGTTAGTTTTCATAGAACTTACCTCATGTCAGGTGAAAAATCAACTTGACAAGCATAACCTGCCACCATGTGACCCTTGAAGATTTTCTTTTTGTTTAATCTGAATCTGTTCTGAGCTCCAAAAATCAAAATCTGATTATCCATTGATTGACAAGCCAGCCATTTTCCTGTATGTGCAACAAAGTTCAGGCAGATGTCAGTCTTATTTTGAATCAGACTACTGCAGCCGAAGAAACAAATCTGACAAAGATTCCTAGAACTTTCACTGCCAGTTCTGGTTTCAACAATATTCGGTGTTAATAAAGCATTTAGTTAAATAATATGCATGGCTTCTACCGTGTACTGGACAGCTCAGAGCTAGACCCTAGAATGGTGTATTAGCAGCGTTCACTCAAAGAAAAAAAAGGTACAGACTTGGCTCACGTCACATGTGTAGAAAGATTTATAGTGTGGCAGACACAAATTTCATCATACAAAAACAAACCTTCTAATTCTGTAAGCAATTCTTTCTAAGCCATTTGTGACACCAAGTACAGTTATCAGTCATACCCATGGAAAATTTTCATTGAGATGATTTCTGCCTATTACAACTAATAAAGGCAGAACTTAACACTGGAGATAGTTTGGAAGCGTATCCCTGCATGTATGCTCAATTGCCTATAGTAACTTTCTCTGTTATAGTCACGCTACACCATCCAGAGATTACCCATGGTGACGGTCACATTTTAAAATACAGAAGAGGCTTAGACAAAGAACAGGATAGGTGAGCAGATATCCTAACTGGTCAATCAAATAATTGAAACCGGGAGACAAGTTCACAAGATGCAGATCATCTCATTAATTACTCATTTTAAGCTGTGGAACAATAGAGTTACCAGTGGTTTTCTGTTTTATTTATTTATTTATTAAAAGAGCAATTTTACTTGAGTGTAAAGTAGGTCTAAAATGTGTTGAATGATTTTAACCATGTAAATAAATCCTAAAGATCTAATTTTCAAACCAGCATATATATATATATATATATATATATATATATATTTTAAGTTTCACAGTTCAACAGGAGAAGTGTCTGGAAGTAAAAAAGAAGAACTGCTTTTTTAACCTGTCATGTGCCCACTCTTCTTCCTGTTTTGGTGGTGGGTAGGGAGGAGAGGGCATTGCAGATGCTCCCAGGTGGGAAAGGGGACATGCTGAAGAGAGAAGCTGCTCCTTGATCCTTTTCTGCTGGACATATTCCCTTTCCTTGAGCAGTGACCACAGTGACTTTGAATGACTTTCTCAAGGGTCCCAGGAAAAGAGTAGACATGTCATGGGGACACTATTCTCCTCTTCTGCTCCCTTATAGGCTTTTTTATTACTCTTTTAGCTTTGTTTGCTCCTTCTACCACTTGCAGAAAGAGAAATTTTAAAATGACAGAGTTCATAAAAAAAAGAAACTAACTTGGGTCTCTCACCACAGAGAAAGTAAACTAAGACTTTGACATTTTTTGGTATAACCCTACGTGTTAATTTAAACGAATATAGTTATACTGATATAACTCACCCCGTTTGGTTACTCTTACTCTGGTATAAGAGTATCTTTTTCTGGTTTAGCTTATGTCATCTGGAAAGGAATTTAAGCTAACCCCCCAAATGATACAACAGATATCCATATGGGAGGGTTGATACTGGTCTAATTGGTGAAATTTTCCTGTGTAGACAAGGCCTAAGTAAAGTCTTAACTTACCATTTGGAGACAAGGTGACTGCAGGCATCGAGTGCATACTTGGCTCTGCGATGTACTTGAAATCGACAGGAATGTCCCTGCAAAGGAAGAAATGTGAATGGATGAGGAACTGGAAATATTTCAAAGGGCTACCTAAAGTCAGCTGATTTAATCAACCACTGTGAAACACAGAATGAGAGGTGGTGTCCAGATGACAAATGTCTAAAATGGAGTTCAAAGATATTAAAAATACTTCCCAGTGAACTCTTACTGTGGTGCTATCGACAAAAGAAAATGAGCCTTGTTTAATACCTCCATTTGTGAATAGGTTTTGGTGCTGGATGTGGGCCAGGGGTTCTTAACCTTTTTCTTTCTGAGGCCCCCCACAATGGGCTATAAAAACTCCATGGCCCACCTGTGCCACAACAACGGATTTTCTGCATATAAAAGCCACAGCTGGTGTTAGGGGGTAGCAAGCAGGGCAGTTGCCTGGAGCCTCATGCCACAGGGGCTCCCATGAAGCTACATTGCTCAGGCTTTGGCTTCAGCTTTCTATCCTGGGCCCCAGTGAGTCTAATGCTGGCCCTGCTTGGCAGCCTCCCTGAAACCTGCTCTTGGCTCCTCAGGACCTCTGGTTGAAAACCACTGATGTAGGCAATGCAGAACATATAGATTCCCCCCACAATAGCCCTGTCTACACTAATGACAAAACCGGTTTTCAGTCACACTTGAGGGAGGCTGTGGGGTAAGGGCAGCGGTGTTTGAAAGTCAGTGTCAGACACTACTCCATTCCTAGACTAGACAGGCAGCGTATGATAGCTTGCATGTCTGAACCTGCTCCCTCCCCAAAAAGGAATCTTCACTCCAGCTAGAAAGAACTCTTATGTAACCTGTAAAGGTTAAACAATAAAGCCACATTATGGAAAATACACTTCCTGCATTTAATTCTAGTTAAAAGGAATTGAAATGCAATGTGGGTTTTGCTGTCGTCTCTTCACAAATTAATGCAGGCTCATCTGCTGGAATTTATTCCAGGCAGCTCTGCTTTCTGTTAAAATGTACCAGATGTAGTCAGGACTGCTGCAGGATATGCTGCCCTAAACTATTAGGCAGAATAAAAGACATTTAAGTTTCATACTTCTTTCAAGCCAAATTGTGAAATAGGAAGTAAGACAAAATCAGTTTCTTAAAGGTCACCAAAAAACGCTGCCATGGTTGGCTGACCTAAAAACCAATTTAACCTCAATGGCTGTTCTAACTGGAAATTCTAAACTGAGAGACCTGGTACATTTTCCTCAAAACATTGTTTTATGAGCTGACAATTGTAAGTGGTGGGAGTTTCTAACCTTCACTGGCAAAAATGAGAGTGCTCCACGGCGATTTCTTTCCTCCTGACCAAACCTGGCAGGAACTAAAAGTTAGGGTCTCTTGAAAAGTAAAGGGAAAGTGTTTGGAACTGCCGGAGATATAAAAGCTCTTAAAAGACTTCAATTTCCTTATGGGAGCTTGGGAACTATGGAAAGACCGACCGCTGCAGGGAGGTCATCCGAAGCCTATGGATCGCATTAGCCTCGTCATCCTAGCAGAGAATGAAACCAGCATTAGATACCACTATGGGGTATGGTTCACTAGTGACTTGGAGGTAGGAAAATTTTGAGCAGAGTGTCATCAACATGCTGATGGCACAGCAGCCCAACCCATTTCACCGTTTCCCTGAGTAGCAGCATGAAAATATTAAGGAGTGAGAATAAATTCTGTATTTTCCAAAATCAAGGGGTTTAGAATACAACGACCACCTCAACTTTAATATCACTGCCATATGGATGCAATAAGTAGAAAGCAGAAAAACAAACTTCAGAATATCCCAGTTAAGATTCCACTGAGCAAATATAGTTTGTTATCTGAAAAACATTTATTGTTCTATATTCTTACTGTTGCAGTTCCACAAAGGAAGGACACTGCAATCCAGTAAACATGAAAGCAGAATCTGTACACAGCAGAACGTCCATGAATTATCATGGGAGAAGCTGTTCCCAGCAAAGTCTGACATGTCAGACCACTCCCAGTACTGGCCAAGTGAACATGCTTATCAACTGAGATTTGATTACAAAACATCCTGAACATTCCTCTACGCAATTAAGAACACTACAAAAGCAATTAAAAACTTGTAATTAAATGTAGCTTTTAAGAGCATATGGGGGTCATATTTACTTTTAAAGCTTGTTTAAAGTTCTTGTTAAAATCAAAATCTTCAGGCTTATTATTAATGTAAAGTAAAGTAAAGAGATATTTGTATATTTAAACATATCAAAAAGTGAAAAAAATCAATTAACCGAACCATATAAAATGCCTGTTATAAAACAGAAAAGAGGGATTTATTCACAGCAGGATTGGTGACAACTTGACACATGAAATTCTTCAAGCTCCAAAAGTGCTGAACACATTCATTTAGCTTTAATGCAAATGTAATTAATTTGGGGCCTGAAATCTGAAATTTGTCTACAGACAGATAAGCATATTTCAGGAAACGTTCTGTACCACAGTCCACAGTGACGAATGAGCAGAGTGGGAAAAGCGCTCTACATTAGCTTTATAAATCAGTTTAAGCAAAATTTGAGTGATGGAATATGATCTATTCTATAGTTCATAATATCTGAATGAGACAACACTATTCCTGTGACTTCTAATATAATGTGAAGATATATACATTTGGGACAATCAGGCTGTGATGTTCTGCAACTAGATTCTTTGTGATGGGAAGGAGGAAAGGGAAGGTGACATTTCACCCTGTAGCTATTTATTTTATCCATTATCAGGGACCACAAGAAACAAGAGCATCTAGTCCCAAGAGGCGGCAGTTCTGTGCAAGAGAGACATGGCTCCATAAACCAAACAGAAGAAATCCCTGTTAGTAGTCATCGTGCCCAAGGACTTTTCCTTCTCCTTAAGGGGTTCACTGAAACTGCTTGGAGATAACTCATCAGAACTTTGCCAGACCGACAATCCTTCCAGATGAGGAATTTCAGACATAGCTCCTTCCAGAACCAGTCAAAACACCCACTGAGTCAGCCAGAGAATGATCTGGGCACTTCCTCTCACCTGTGTGGCCAAGTGCACTGCCTCCACATAGCTCCCAAACTGCTAGCCAGGGAGCGAAATCCAGAGTACTGAACAGAGATTACCATGTAACAGTAGAGCTAGCATAAGCTTAAAATGAATCTCAATATACCCTTCACTTTTTTATTTTTTTTTATTTAAAAACAGGCAGTAACTGCATGGTACGTTATGGACATCAGCTGAGCACTGCTGTGACCTAGATTCCTCCATACATGAAGGGCAATGTAGAACTACTGTAGATCCTAAAGATAGCCAGCTGGATTCAATGAAAAGGCCAGAATGAATCATTTTCTTTAATCACCAAATGCTTTTTGTAGGTTTCAATAACTGAACAGAACACCTCTCTCCCAACTCACATTAGAACTGAAGAGCAGTTCAAATAATATTTCTAAATGAGCCTTTTCTTGGATGGAATTTCATATTTTTTCAGTGTTTTTACCGTGCTTCTCAGTGCAACCCTCCCCAATAAAAGAAGACTGAAAAGCTAGAATGAAACTGTTAAACTATTTGATTTATTAGTTATCTTTACAGTACTGTAAAGTAGCATGGCACAGGCAATTCTTTATATGCATAATTTAAGTGCTGATACACCTCCACTGGGAGAGCAGATGAGAGAAACCATTAACGGAATATTGTCTGCCACAAGCTGATATGACTATGCCCATTGTTTCCACGTAACAGTCCATGGCACGACCTTTACTTTATAAGTAAAGTTAAAATAATTTGACTGGTATTCACCTAGCGTGTGTTATACAGGAGTAGGAAAGAAATCATTTCACTGATTAAAAACACATACCGTATGACTGACTATCCTAGAAAAAATTTCTAGCAACAACTTTTATATTACTGCAGGTGCTATCTTAGATTGATTTTTATCTAAACCAAACAAGATATTTTATTTAATTTGGGGCTAGTACAGTATATTGAATAAATGTAACTTGAATGGCTCTTGTGCATTCATACCAATGAAGTCCTCTGTAAACTATGAAATTCTCTGCTTTGCTTTTGGATAGAGTTAATGAAATGTTACAGGTTTTAAAAAGCAGCCTCAGATAATAAGTACTGCAACACAGGAGGGTTGTAAGCCAGTAAAGAGAGTTAAGTGTTAGACATTTTAAAAATCTTTACTTCAAAGGGATTTTAAAAATACAATTAATTGTCTTACATCTAATTTCAGGAAGGGATGTTTCATTGACTGAACAAATACGTTAAGAACTGGCTCACAGACTAGCCTGTGGACTGCAGAAATATGGGTCTGATGTGGAGTATTTACGATTGGTCAACAACACAGTCAAATAGACTAGAAACTAGCAGCAGGAACATCACTGATTTTTTTCTGGCACTGCTTCTTTTTAAATATTTCATTTACTGTAGAGAATAATATAAATGGAAGTTAAATTAATTTAAATTTTTGTTTGGCTAGCAGGAACTTACGGCACAAAAACTTCAAAGTAATTGCATTGATTTGACTTAAAATTGTTATCTATTTCCCAGTTTGCTCTATATGAATATGAAATCAAACTTTGTGAGGTTTGAAACTTACCATTCCCAGACTCTTAAACTCTTGTCATCAGATGTACTCACAAACCGTCTATTCTCATCCACAAACACAATGGTGTTGACAGCTCCCAAATGCCTATCGTACTCCTGCACAATCTCCCCACTTCGAATGTCCCACTGCAAATTAAACAGCCAGCGTCAGAGCCACTTAAGTTCTAATACATTTCTGAACTTGAAACCATAAAGCTTCTGATATTTAGTCAGACTTTCAGGTCAGAGAGCAAGTACTCTAGCAACAGCCTTTGAGGGAGTGTTCATTCAAAAATACTGTTAAGAAAGGAAAGAAAATGTCTAAGGCATTGCCGTTATACAGCAGCTAAATTTAAACTTCAGGTACAAAAACTTTACTTTATAAACCTATGAGATCAGGAAACATTTAATTAAGTTCTGAGTCTTACCTGTACAATTTTTTTATCTGACATTCCTGCCACAAAAAGACTTTGTTTATCTTCATCAGGATTGAATTTGACACAGTATGGAACCTTCCTGTTTGTGAACCTTGAAACACATTGCCCTGTAAACAGACAAGCCATTCAAATTAGATCAGTTCAAAAGTTTCACAAGCATAGTTTTATAAATGCTCGCAGTAATAAGCTATCATAAATTATCCATCTTTGTACCTAGAGATGTTTTACTTAGTTTAGATCAGGAGAAAACAAAAACATAGGCTTTCAACTCCCTGAAAAGATCAGAGATTGGGAATTATTCTAGAGATGACCTGGATCTTGTTTATATTAGATCTCCCCCCCCCCCCCCCATAAAATTTCCCACCATTGCTACTGGTTCAACCCAGGCAGCTGGTCACACCCTGTACCTGATCTTTAGCCTAGATATCAATACTGAGGACATCACAACCCAGCCACTGTTTTGGACAGACCCATTACCTCATTAAGACAGTAGTCAGAAACCTCCAACTGCCAGGCAACAAGACAGACCAATGATCCTGATTCAACCATGAATACTCATGGATGCCACCAAATTCCAAAGCTTCCTAAAAGACATCAGCACCCCACCACAAGTCATCATGGACCTGCTGACTCCTTATCGCCTCCATTACTAGACCCATCACTTGTAGAGTTCCACAAGGAACAATTCTCTCACCAGTCCTTCTCAACAGCTATATAGAACCACTAGGTGAACTGGTCAGACAACATAAACTCAAAGTGTCAGTGATATGCAGAGGAGACACAGCTTTACCTATCCTATTCCTTCACCGCCACCACCACTACCACCACCACCACCACCAACAGCAAGACCCAACGCTTGGACAAGATCAGCTGGTTGAAGCTGAACTCAAGCAAGGCAGAAGTTATGGTGATAGTCAGAAGAAAACATTTTGAAGTGTTTGCAGCCAGAGTATGTTTTCCTTTGGTTGAAGGTACACATCCACATTTGGTCAACTGAGTTCACAGTTAAGGAACACTTCTGGATTCCTCACTGATGCGAAGTACCCACACAGCAGCATCTTTGAGTAATGTTTTCTATCATTACAAAACCCTCCACTGCACAAACCTCTCCCCTGGGGAGAGAACAACCACATGATAGGTGTTAGTCATGTTGCTTAATGCATTACTGGAAGGTATTCGGATACTACCGTGCGAAGTGTGGGATAAAAACCTATACAGAATAGAATTGACCAGGACCGATCTATTGGTGGTGGCAACAGTGGAAGCACTAGTAGTATAAACAAGATGTCAGTGCTTGCTGGTTTTTTAACCCACAGTGTCATTTAGACTTGCTCTGGGCATTTAGATGACAAGAGTGGTTAAAATGCTGTCAGCCACGTGCATCTTTTTTATATATTGCTATTTCTATTGTTGCCTCCACAAGGTAATTTTAAGGAAAACAATCACAGACATGGCCTTGCAAACTAAGTGCCAGGAGATTATGAAGCCTTCTGAACAAAGATGCACTCTACACAGCTCTTTAATGTTGTCCAGCCTTGATAGGGTATGTATTTTAGGACGGCAGAGTTTGGCCTCCAGCATGTATTGTCAATTAATATGCATGAGAATAAAAGAATCCATTTTGACTTTCAAAGACCAAGCTGAATTTGCAGGCTAGCAGTTAGAAAAAAAATATTTTCCCCTTGTAAATACCTTGGAGATACAAACCTGGAAGGCCCACAATATCATTGTAACAAAGCCAATGTTAAGTGAAGAGCTAAAAACGGAATTCATGCAGAACACCTGAGTTAATGGCGTCCAAGTACAAAAATGGTGATCCTCATCTACTTATAAAGAGGCTGCTCTAGCCAATCTGCTGCCCTGGGCAAAACTTCAGTGTGCCACCCCCTTCCTACCCTCTAGAACAGTAGTTTTCAAACTTTTTTTCTGGTGACCCAGTTGAAGAAAATTGTTGATGACCGCGACCCAGCGGAGCTGGGGATGAGGGGTTTGGGGTGTGGAAGGGGCTCAGGGCTGGGGCAGAGGGTTGAGATGAGGGCTGCGGGGTGGGTCTGGGAATGAGGGGCTATGGGTGTGGGAGGGGGCTCTGGGCTGGGGCTTGAGGAGTGGGAGGAGGCTCTGGGTTTGGGGGCGCTCAGGGCTGGGCCAGAGAGTTGGGGTGCAGGAGACGGTCAGGGCTCTGGGCTGGGGGTGCAGATTCTGGGGTGGGGCCAGGGATGAGGGTTTTGAGGTGCAGGTGGGGGCTGCGGGTTTGAGGGAGGGCTCAGTGTTGGGGTAGGGGATTGGGGCGCCGGGGTGGATTGCGGGCTTACCTGTGGCGGCTCCTGGTCAGCGGGGATGCTAAGGCAGGCTTCTTGCCTATCCTGGCACCGCGGACCATGCTGGGCCCCGGAAGCGGCCAGCAGCAGGTCTGGCTCCTAGGCGGAGGCACACAAGTGGCTCCACACGGCTTTCGCCCACAGGCACTGCCCCCCCCCCCCCACCAGCTCCCACTGGCCAGTGCGGAGCTGGTGCTTGGGGCAGGGGCGGCGCGTGAAACCTAGGAGCTGGACCTGCTGCTGGCCACAGCGTGGTGTCAGAACAGGTAGGGACTAGCCTGCCTTAGCAGGGCAGCACCGCCAACGGGACTTTTAATGGCCTGGTCTGAGATGCTGACCAGAGCCGCCGTGATCCAGTGCCTTACATTCCACGACCCGGTACTGGGTCGTGACCCACAGTTTGAAAACCACTCTAGAACAGAGCTTCTCTACTGAAATAATGGATCCAGGATTTTGGTTGAAGTGGGGGCAAGTACCTAGTCACAGCACCACGCATTGTGGGTTTGGCCCAACTGCCCCTCCATCGTGATGGAGGAATGTCTGAGCCAAATTTGAGTGAGTGGCCTTGTGACCTGGTGCACGGGGTCACGGTGTCACTCAGTTTTGGTCCAGCTGCCCCAGGAAGTTGCCTAGTTTGCCTATAGCTGGAATGGCCTCTGAGCTCTGATATGCGAGATATTAAAAAAAAAATATTATGGTACTGACAATTCTATGTTACAAAGCCTCTTCGCTAGAGTTGCCCTATCCAGATTATTTTTACTCTTTTAATAGCTGTTTTCCTACATTGAGAAAATCTAGGTGAAGCGGACCTTGAACACGACTATTAAAAAAGTGCAAAGTGCAAAGTGGAAGATGACTGGCTGCAAGAAAGCGAAGATCAGTCACCACACAAGTTAAAGTAAAGCAAACTTCATCTATTCGGCAAATGCACAAAACTAAGGAAGTCTTCAGTTAAGTATTGAATATCTGCTAAATACCATTGAGGCACAATGGGAGTAGTAGTGCAGCATTAAGAAAACCATATTTAATAGCTAACAGGATTTAAAATACCTGTTTTTGTTGTAAATACCTTAGATTTGTATTTGGCCGAGACACTCAGCATTAGGTGAATATAATTATTTGTTAATGTTCTTAGCAATGAAAATACAAATATTGTGAAATAAATGTCATTGCTATAATTACTGTTATTTCTTTCCCCAACCTATTTGGGAAAATTCATTTTTTTTTTTTTAAATCTGGAAGAATTATTATGGAATAAATCCTTTACTAAATTATAGTAAAATATTCAATTCAAAAAATTACTTTTAGTACTTAATTTCATTCTTATAAGTGAAGGGGTGCCAAATAATTCCCTCTAATTTGGTAAATATTTGGCCCATTCTTTCTACGCAAGTTTTCAGTTCAAAGTAATTTTTTTAGAAAAATGTATAAACCCTTGTTACTATGGATTTTTAACTTAAACACCACGACTACCTTAACTGTAGCTTTACACTGACAGCAAAAACATTCAGGAGATGAGAAAATTGCTCTCCTTGTATTTGAAACAGCAGTGTTGCACTATAAGAGAAAGCATGGCTATTAAAACAGTAGCTATTTACTACTAGTTGCAATGATTATCAGATTTGAACATGTATGTATTTAAGCCTACCTGTTTCAGTGTCCCAGAGTTTAAGATACCGGTCATATGCTGCACTAAGAAACTGAGTTCCAGCATTGTTAAAGCAGATGTCTCGAACTGCTTTACTGTGCCCTAAAAGATAAAAAAAAGTGTGGTAGAGAGAAGAATTAACTCTTTACCCCCGATGCTAGGAATTAGGATTTTCTGGAGAATGTACAGATAGAATGCAGATAAACCACAATACTAATGGTCAATTACAGCTTTTAATTACACTCTCTGGTAACACAGAAAACTACTAGAACTTATCTAAGAAAATCTTGTAAATTTAGTTCCAGCAGACCAATTCAACTGGAAAAGTAACAGTTCCTCCTCCTAAAGGCTGTTATGAGATTTGAAAATAAAGCCATTGGGAATTACCTCTGCAAAGAGACTGACTGCAACACTGTGGAAAATTCTAAAACTTCTCCAGATGAAACATAGCATACCTTTAAAAATAAACATCTATTTGAGGAATAAGACTGACCACAGGAGGCTTCCCTGCACTAGGAAAATCCTCCATTGCTACACCACCATAGTTGTAGCCCCAACAGCTATCAGTTACGGGGCTCATACAACGACTGCCACTTTTATTACTGTATTGTCTAAGCCTGTCCATAACAAGGTTATGAGAATACAGTGGCAAAACATCAACTCCCTCTAGTGGTGAGAATGCAACAGCAGGGAATTTCCCAATGCAATCTAGTGCAGACAGCCAGATAGAAGTTACTTTGGAACTGCATTGACAGAAGGGTTTTTTTGGGAACAAGTGCGTCTTAACACTTAACTAGCCTAATATCTAAACCGTATGAGGATGGGATAAGTGCCAGGATGGTAATAGAAAGTTTAGATGACTAGTTTTATTGACATTCATATTAAAAGTCTGTCCCCCCCAAAGCAATTTATTCGTTTTGTCTGCATATTCTAGACATCTTAAAATGTGATGCAGCTGATCTCTCCACTGCACTGAAATAACATGTATTGCATTACAAATATGATGCACAAGTAGCACCTCAAAATCCACTATTGCTTCAAAGATTGTCGTGGACATAGTTATAGCAACAATGCACTGCATGTGAAAAATATCACAACATTAACATCTAAGACAAAAAAGTAAGGGAAAAATCAAGGACTGAACACTATAGAGGAATTCTATGAAGAGAATGCCAACTGCTGGGCACAGAAAAATTCTGGGATGGCAGCAATAGCAAGTGGGTAAATAATTTTGGCATGCTTAAATTAAATCCCCTGTGGAATATGGGAAATATTTAGGTCAGGAAGGCGTGTTGCTCAGGTAGAATCATCTCCCCTGCCTTGCAGAATAATTCTGGTTGGCCATTGTAGCAGACTTATAGGGGCCCTACATTTTAGCTTACACACACTTTTAAAATAAAATACAGCAGGTGAATCTGACTCATGACAGGAAAGTTCTGAAACCACAGTTCAAAGAGAAGAGTCTCTTCAGAGAGATCCTTTTCTGAGGCATCAGTTTAGCCAATCTGCTTGATGCCGTGGGTACTAGGAACATTGATAAAAGGGCACTTCAAATGACAGCACATCATTTTAGAAGTGTTTCCACTTCAAGAGAAAAACTGCTGCTCATAAGCTGCAGCAAAGACTGCTAGAAAGCTCACATTTCTCTCTCTCAATCCTCTATAAAAGTTCTCAATTACAAGGAAAATATTGGACTTGTTCCATTTTTATATTTAAAAGGAGGCCTGAACAGTTTTTATGAGAAGTTTTTCTCTGTTCCTTTTGCATTAGAAATTCAGTTCTTGTCTAGCCCAAAAGATAAGACCTAGTTATATGACGACATCACAATAGTTAATTTTAGCACACCCAAAAGTGTGCTAGGTACCTCACAGTACAAGTAAGGAGACACTACTTCTACTCTGAACATACCGTCTAATTTCAGACATGAAGTATTGACGGGAGGAGTAGGTAACAAAAAATAGGGATCTATCCGATCCATTTCTGGTAATGACCGATAACTGATTGACGCAGTACACTAATATCTTGTTTTTATGGTCTAGAAGTCTTCAGTGCCAACACTAAATCATGTGGATTAAAAACAAAATAAGGTCATGCATAAATGCAGCCTCTCCAGCTTTCATGCCAACACCATATTGAAAAGCTGACATTTTTCTCAGATGCCTACATGTCTTCTGTGGCACTGATACCCTCCTCCCCAAAAATCACAAAGTAATTAAATCTACTTTGGCGGGGGGAGGGGGGGGGAGGGGAGAGGAGACAAGGAAAGAAGGAAGTTGTTTTAAATGTATATTAAAGAGTTCAGTAAAAAAAGAGAGGTTACCAATAAATGTTCGTAAGCATCTTCGTTCACCGTAAACCTCCCATAGCTTGAGGAAAAAAAAAAAAAAAAAAAAAAAAAAAAAAAAAAAAAAAAAAAAAAAATAAAAAAAAAAAAAAAAAAAAAAAAAAAAAAAAAAAAAAAAAAAAAAAAGGACAAACGTTAAATTTCTGCACCACATTCTTATTAAATGACAAGTTTAACTACAGATGTACGAGACACTATATGAGAATTTTGATCATAACTAGCCTATCTTGAAATTCAGAAATAATGTGAACATTTGCCACAGAATTTCTGCAACTATCTCAACAGTATGCAAGGGTGAACTAAAATGAAATTTCATTTCGCAATAAGAAATTAAATGGCCCAGTTTCATAAACTCAGAGCAGGAAATTTTCAGCAAAAAATGTTTTGCTATCAACATTTGTCCCAGCTATAAAATTTAGCTTTACATAAAATTGTCTTTTACCAAGTGATAGCAGCAGCAAAGGTAAGCTTAAGGACTTGTGACCTTCACAACCTAATTGGATTAGCATTTCAATGCTATTAAGTACCTATACTGTGCTAACACCCAAATTGTTTTAGGCATTTTACATACACACATGAAGCCAGAGTGCCTGCCCCAAAAGGCTTACAATTAGGGCTGTCATGCGATTAAAGTGATTTATCCTGTTGTTAAACAATAATCGAACATCATTTATTTAAATATTTTTGGATGTTTTCTACATTTTCAAATGTATTGATTTCAATTACAACACAGAATACAAAGTGTACAGTGCTCATTTGATATTTATTTTTGATTATAAACATTTGCTCTGTAAAAAACAAAAGAAATAGTATTTTTCAATTCACCTAATATAAGCACTGTAGTGCAATCTCTTTATCATGAAAGTTGAACTTACAAAGGTAGAAGTATGTCCAAAAAAATAACTGCATTCAAAAGTAGAACAATGTAAAACTTTAGAGCGTACAAGTCCACTCAGACCTACTTCAGCCAATCAGACAAACAAGTTTGGTTAAAATTTGCAAGAGATAATGCTGCCCGCTTCTTGTTTACAATGTCACCTGAAAGTGAGAACAGGTGTTTGCATGGCACTGTTGTAGCCGGCGTCACAAGATAATTACGTGCCAGATGCACTAAAGATTTATATGTCCCTTCATACTTCAACATCATTCCAGAGGGCATGAATCCATACTGATGATCATGGGTGGTGCGCGAACCGCCGGCTGGGGGAGGCTAGCCCCCCGCCTCACCCCTTCCACCCGAGGCCACGCTTCTTCCCCCACCACTGTACTGGAGCAAAGCTCCCCCCCTTCTGCTGGAGCCCAGAGCCGACCCCCTCACCGCAGCACCGGCCCAGTCCCACGGCTAGCTCCCCAGCCCCAAAGGAGCGCCGGGAGGGTGGGCAGCGCGCAGCCCCAGCTTTCCCAGCTCTGGGAGTTGGGTGGCTGACCACAGCCTCCCCAGCTCCAGAGTGAAGACGGGTGGGCGGCGCATGGCCCCAGTGTCCCCAGCCCTGGAGCCTTGGAAGGTGAGCGGTGTGCATCCCCAGCTCCAGAGTGTGGGAAGGAGGGCAGCGTGCAGCTCCAGCCCCAGCGGACCACTGTGGGACTGGAGCTGGAGGACTGGAGCCACACACAGGGAGCGGTCACGGCAGGGGGCGGGTTCACGCCCGGCTGTTTGGGGAGACAAAGCCTCCCCCCAGCCTATGAGACCCGCCGCCCATGCTGATGACGGGTTCTGCTCAATGATCCAAAGCAGAGTGGATCAACGCAGGTTCATTTTCATCATCTGAGTCAGATGCCACCAGCAGAAGATTGATTTTCTTTTTTGATGGTTCGGGTTCTGTAGTTTCCGCATCAGAGTGTTGCTCTTAAGACTTCTGAAAGCATGCTCCACACCTCGTTCCTCTCAGATTTTGGATGGCACTTCAGATTCTTAAACCTTGGGTCCAGTGCTGTAGCTATTTTTAGAAATCTCACATCAGTACCTTTTTTGCGTTTTGTCAAATCTGCCATGAAAGTGTTCTTAAAACGAACATGTGCTGGGTCATCATCCGAGACTGCTAGAACATGAAATATATGGCAGAATGAGGGTAAAACAGAACAGGAGACATACAATTCTCCCCCAAGGAGTTCAGCCACAAATTTAATTAACACATTTTTTAAGGAACATCATCAGCATGGAAGCATGTCCTTTGGAATGGTGGCCAAAGCATGAAGGGGTATATGAATGTTTAGCACATCTGGCACGTAAATACCTTGCAACGCCAGCTACAAAAGTGCCATGCGAACACCTGTTCTCACTTTCAGGTGACATTGTAAATAAGAAGCAGGCAACAGTATCTCCTGTAAATGGAAACAAACTTGTTTGTCTTAGCAATTGGCTGAACAAGAAGTAGGACTGAGTGAACTTGTAGGCTCTGAAGTTTTACATTGTTTTGTTTTTGAGTACAGTTCTGTAACAAAAAAATTCTACAGTTGTAAGTTACACTTTCATGATAAAGAGATTGCACTACAGTACTTGTATGGGGTGAATTGAAAAATACTATTTCTTTTATCATTTTACAGTGCAAATATTTGTAATCAAAAGTTATATATAAAGTGAACACTGTACACTGTATTGTAATATAAATCAATATATTTAAAAATGTTGAAAAACATCCAAAAATATTTAAAAAAAATTCAGTTGGTATTCTGTTTAACACTGCAATTAATTTTTTAAAGCCTGATTAATTTTTTTGAGTTAATCGTGTGAGTTAACTGCAATTAATCGACAGCCCTACTTACAATCTAAACATAAAAACAGGTGAGAAATGAGGGAGACGAATACAAAACACAGTACATGCAGCATAGGCAGGGTGGTGATAGGCATCTATTTAACACACACGCAGCCAAGTTGCTGCAGAAACCTTAATTTTTGCACTTCCTGACTTCATTTAACTGTGATCTTTATATTGCATTAAAATAGTTTCTGCATTATTTATTTTTACATTCAAAGCAGTTAGATAGGGCTGCGATTGACAACTTAACTATTTATTTCTATGCAGAACAAAGAAACTAATTCAAACCATTTCTGGGAGAAAAACTATAATGTAGGATAACTATTTATTTGACAATTTTTAGCCCGATACCTCTGTTTAAATTTGTCTCAAACCCTGGAAAAGTAGGTGTTCTAACAGAAATTAGACTCAGTATTTAAATGCTGTGAATGCAACATTTGTATGAAGTGAAGGTATATCAGAAACAACTCACTTTAATTTTACAGTCCATGGAGCAAGATAGCAATATGTGGCCAGAGAGTGGAAACAACCTGACTGCACTGACACCCTGTAAATAAGAACATAAATGATTAAGAAACAGCAAATTGAGCATGTGGATTTTTTTCCTAGCTCATTTTCCCTCTTTTCTAAAATATCTAGATGAAATCCTAAAACACAACCTTTTCAGAAATGTGAAAGATTGAAGAGGAGCCTGTACAATCTCCTACTCCTTTAACACAGCAATGTATTTTAAACAATTGCTTCTGCTGAATCACCAGGGGGCAATCTTGAGTCACCGCAACCGTTGTGTGCATGCTCCCTTCCCCTCCCACACTGACACCCACCTACACCATTACCATGGCAGCCCTTGGCAAAGAAATACAAATTGTGGGTTTGGAACGTTAGCTTTGACAAAAGAAGAACACAGAGCTCTCCCCCCTGCCAATCTGACCTCTTCATAATACACCCAGTTCTGCACAATCGTGATTACAATCCTCTCTATACTACAATCCTGTGACCAGGAACTGGGGCCTCTCTAAGCAGCCTCCTGGGGTCACTTCAAACTCAGGCCTCTTGCATGACAACAACTTCAACCACACAGGCCCTGACCCTGCAAACACTAAAGGCCATTTGTAACTTTACTCAGGTGAGCAATCCCAGTGGGCTGCAATCAGATTTTTAAACAGATATGTATGTGGGGAAAAAAACCCAAAAGACTTTCAGATAAACAATACTTTACATCATTTTATTTTACAGCATCCTGATTTCCTACAAAAAGCTTATTCTATTACAGATACCTAAACAGAGCAAGGGAGTTCATAAACATACTATGTTGCATATGAAGTTTGAAACATCACGAATACAAGGAAACTAAATCTTGAACTCAGAATGGGAGAAGGAAGTGAAGGAAACACTGATTCAGATAGTAATTTAAACACACTTGAAAACTATTCCTGTTTATTTATACAGCCTCCCAAGCCTCCTTAGTGCTCAACAAACAAAAGAGGCACTAAGTTGGCAGATACAAAACCAAATTTTCATAGCAGTTAAGTTGTATTGGCAAACTTTTCCCACTAAAATTTGCAATGTAAACACAGATAATTGTTCATATATGAACCATCTGCATGTGCAGTTTTCTGATGAGTAAGCAACAGCTCAACTCAGAGTACACACAATGTAGGAGACAAACCTATCTTTTCTTGAGTATTAGGGTTATTCAATGTTATAAAAGATTTGCAGGGGATTTTAAGAGGTACCACGGAAATCAGTGCATGGAACACAGTGGGGTGAAAAAAAGATTTTCTCAAAAAAAGATTAACTACTCAATAGGACTCCAATAGTGCAGCTCTACAGGGAGCAGTAATGGTGGAAGTGCTAGTGTAGACAGAATGCAGGCATTTTTACCTTCCAACTATCTTCACTGAACAGGATTAGCAGACTTGGTGGTAAGAACTTCTGCAGTTGGTCTATATAAGCTCTCCCACTACTGCTACCATAAATAGAAAGTGCTGGTGCTGGGAAAAACCCACAAGGAATGAAAATCCTAGCCCCACTGATGTCAAAGGGAGTTTTGGCACTGACTTCCATTGGGCCACGATTTTCACCCAAGATTTCTCAAGTTCAGAATTATGCAAAAAGCCAGACACAACAGTGCCAAAAGGAGGCAGAAACTGTCCAAATCATTACAACGTTAATCTTTACCACCCCATTGAGATGTCAACATTTCAGTGCTGCCCCTTTCAGCAGAAAGGCACAGCTCATGTGCTTCTCTCTCTTAGGGCCAAAGCCCAAAATATCCTTAGCTGCCACGGTATCTAGCTTGCTCTTTCTCTGCCCTCCTGCAAAAGCTTAGTTATGCATTGTCAGTATAAAAAGTTTGGCATATTAAATACTGAAATTGTGGGACCTATGTAGAAAAAGTACCAAAACACACAGGGACCACTGCACTACTTGTATCTTCGTTTTCATAGATCATTCATTTGCACTGTTCATTTTTCAAGTGTAAATGATTCTACATCATTTCCAGCCTGCTGCACCAAAATGCTAGAGATTCTAAGAACACGGCCCCAGAATTCAGGCCCAGCTGATCACAGAATATACCAGGCCTCGATAATAATATTTTCTTCTTACTGCAGATATTCAACACAATTAACACAATGTCATGTTTAAGCACATCTAACATGATTAGGATAGTACCTAATGACCATGCATGAATGAGGAGCATATACCTTCTGCTAAAGCTGGCTCATTTTACTGGATGAGATCCAAGACAGTGGATAGCAGCCAGTAGATTAAATGCCTAGGGATTAAACATTAGGAGTCTCCAGAGTCTGCCTTGAGTTGAAAGCTCTGGGTAAGGAATGTGCCTTGAATTTTATCATAAACTTAATCTAACTTGGGTTCAGATGCATTATCGGCAAAATCAAATTTCAATGGTGAGGGCCCAACTCTGAAAAATACCTGCCCCTGATTCAACAGCTTCTATCTAGTAACAGCTAACTAAAGGGGCTTCTTCAGAGTGCAGTTGTCCTACTACACATGGCAGAGGCAGCCTCTGAAAATTAAGGGTATGTCTACAGTACAAAATCACGTCAACCTAAGTTACGTCAACGTACAGCCACCACAATAATTAAATTGCTTTTGCATGTCCATACTACGTGCCTTGTCGGTGGTGCGCGTCCTCACCAGGAGCGCGTGGACCAATTTAACTGTCAGTGTGGGGCATTGTGGGATAGCTCCTGAAAGTCAATCTAAGCAACGCAGTTTCTACACTGACACTGTGTCGACCTAACTACATCAACCTAAGCACTCTCTCTCTCGCGGAGGTGGAGTTATTAAGTCAGCGTAGCGGGCAAGTTACATTTCAGCATAGACGCTTACAGAGTTAGGTCAACGTAAGCTGCCTTGCATCGACCTAACTCTGTAGTGTAGACCAGGGTTAAGGTCCAGACATTTTAAGCTTTATTTAGACTGAAACCAACACTGAATTTCACCCAGAAAAGACATCAGCAACCAATTTACAGGTCAGAACAGTGTGCCACATCCGCAGTCTATACTACCGAAAAGACAAGCAGATCCAGTCTGCACTATATGGACCTGCTAAATGGTCTTCAAGGCTAGCTCTAGATTAGGCACTACAGCAGACCAACCATTTGGTAATAAACACATTTTAACCAGAATAAAAGCTGTATCTAGAAGGGATGGACAGGCACAATATCCTGGCCAGCTAGAAGTGAAAGAGTTGCTGGCCATTCTCATTTGGGTGCATGGAGAACAGTCTAGTAAGAACCTGAGATTTCAAGCCACTCCGATGATTGTAAAAAAAAACAAACCAGAATTCAAGGAGCAGTTAAATAGTTCTTTAAAATGTTTCTCCTCCTCCTCCCAGCTTCATCTCAGGTTTCTCTGGATTGAGCCTAAGTGAGCTGGCTTTTACCCAAGACTCTATCTCTAAGAGCTCCTGGCAAAGTAGGGAATCCTTCTGTTATTGATATTTAATGTCACTGACTTTGTGCAGTAATACATAAAGTCTAAATAACTAAAGGGTTGCACACTTCATAGCTTCTGTAGGCTGAGCTCACTGCACACACAAGGGGCTCCCTGCATCCCTCCCACAAGCTCCCTGGGTGATACCCTCCCTCTCTTTGAGGGACTCCCCACACCTTCCACATCAGTGCTTAGGTCAGTGTAATTTTTGTAACTCAGGGGGTGGCTTATTCACATCCCTGAGCGACACAAGTTATACTTGTGGTAGTGTAAACATAGTGTTGGTGAAGGAGGACTTCTGCATGAGAAACTGTAGTCAGCAACTACATTGTGGGAAATCTTGTGATGTTACTGTTAATACCATGAAACTGTTTTTGATAAGGAATTAGGTTACAAATTTTCACAATAAGGGCAAAATTTTCATGATCCTCGAGAATTAAACCTAATTTGTTCATGTACTAGTGTATGGGTGAAATCCTAGTCCCACTGAAGCCAGTGGGAGTTTTGCTATTGACTTCCTGGGGACCTGGATTTCCCTACATATGTGCAAAACCTGCAATTGAGCATGGTAACTGGTAAATGAACGAATACATATTTGAGTATGCAAATACCCAATTTGTTTATGCACAATTTTGTAAACTCCAGAAAATTTGTCTTGAATGAGCCTGGGTCCGTTATTTTATAAATACAGATCTCAAAAGCTACTTAGCCACAAAGACAAAAATTTACATTATGAAAAAAGAAAAACCTCATTTGCAAAACAAACAATATTCCCTACCTTTGTATGTCCAGACCATACATGGAGCTGTTTCTTTGGGAGATAGCATTTCTCAGGGGGCACTGTAGAACGGAGATTAACGCCAACATCTTGAGGAACATGAAGATAGGATCTTCCCTGGTAGTCATACATTTCTTTGACTAACAAAAAAACACAAAGTACTATGAATTGCAGGGAACCTGTAGTTTCAAAGGTTACAGACTTGGGAAGTTCCAACCATCACATACAATTAAGATTAAGAATTAAATAGAAGACAGCAGTCCTGTTCTGAAAAGTAACCAAAAATTGCTCTTTGGATTTCTACATTTATTGTGTCCCAGCCATTTGATATTAAATGTGCCCAGTTTACAAAAAAGAAGTTGAGTTTTTCTGATTGCTAATCCTGGAAACTCTGTTTGGGTTAAAAGAACAGGAGTACTTGTGTTAGAGACTAACAAATTTATTTGAGCATAAGCTTTTGTGGGCTACAGCCCACTTCATCGGATGCATAGAATGGAACATATAGTGAGGAGATATATATATACATACAGAGAACATGAAAAGGTGGGAGTTGCCCAACCAACTCTAAGAGGTTAATTAATTAAGATGAACTGTTGTCAGCAGGAGAAAAAAAAACCTTTTGTAGCGATAATCAAGATAGCCCATTTAAGACAGTTTGACAAGAAGCTGTGAGGATACTTAACATGGGGGAAATAGATTCAATGCGTATAATGGCTCAGCCATTCCCAGTCTCTATTTAAGCCTAAGTTGATAGTATCTAGTTTGCATATCAATTCAAGTTCAGCAGTTTCTCGTTGGAGTCTGTTTTTGAAGCTTTTCTGTTGCATAATTGCCACCTTTAAGTCTGTTACTGAGTGACCAGAGAGGTTGAACTGTTCTCCTACTGGTTTTTGAATGTTATTCAAAATGTTATTCTGCCATGTACATTGGCCAAACTGGACAGTCTCTACGCAAAAGAATAAATGGACACAAATCTGACATCAGGAATCATAACATTCAAAAACCAGTAGGAGAACAGTTCAACCTCTCTGAGACTGGGAAGAAACTGTCATATTTAGGCAGTGATGTTTCAGAGAATACTCAACACTTTGACATTAGCGACTAAGGAGATGAACCTGTGCAATGGAAAGATAAGTATCTTTTAATTTCTAGATTGTCTCATGGGAGCATTTTTGAGGCAACATTAAGTTGTTTGAGTGACCTGAACTGTCTACTTGCATATTACTGAATATTTTAGGTAATTTAATACAATGGAACATTAATTTGGAATTTCCATGAAGTTCGTGTTTTGAGAACAGTAAAGTATTGTTACTTATTGTTACTTAAGGGTATTATGTCAGACTATTTTAGATCCATTCTACCTTAAACTCCAGGTGAAGTCTTTTTGCATGGGAATAAGTTATCAATAATTTAATAAAAGATACACAGTTAGAGAACAGAAGCACTGATGACTTTCTGATCATAAGCTTGTTTTTTCAGAGATCCATCATTTACAGCTGAAAAGTACAGAACAAGCAGTCCTAACATTTATTCCCTGATGAAACTTCCGCTGGGAAAACAGAGGGGAAAAATCACTAGATACAAAATATCACGTCTATTTGTCCTGTATTATTCACTTTGTTGAGTAAGTGTTATGCTATTGACATACCAGGGTCATGACAAATACTGTAAGTCATAAATGTAAGTGATACAGCTCTTTCCTTTTCCTAGTATATGACTATGAGAAAAGAATTTCCAATTGTGGTAGGCATTAGCACCAATGAAGGAAGAGTCCCGGTTTATAAATTACTCTCTTTAATTGTATTAATGAAGGCCCCATGCATGCAAAACCGTCATTGAAATGATTGGGTATTTCGCCTGCTTAGGGCTTTGGGATGAGGCCCTAAGTAAATATTCTTATGTAAAGATGCAAACTTTCAATATGCAGCAACTCTACTTGGCTAAACAATTATTCACAACACAACAGCAAGAAAATTGGCATAAAATAGACTAAGAACAAAATTTAAGTGACTGTCTAATGTTTAATATATAATCTGTTACAGCATGAACTGTAATCCAAAGTATTACTTGCAGATACAAGATCAAGGCATAAGACTGAACTTGCATCAATTGATTAGTGAAGTATTAAATCTGAAACGAGGCAGAACCCAAAACCCTAAAGATTTCATTTTGTAAAATAGTGAATGGCAATTTGAAGGTGACATAGCCACACTACTCTGAGCAATACAAACTGGCACTAGTTCAAATTTGCCCCCTTACTGAGGTTTCCTTTTTCTGTTAATTTAAAAACATTTCAGTTGAGCTTGGTCATGAATATGGCTGTTCCCTGCAGGACCTCTCTCCCCCTGCTCCTAGTTCCTCTATCTTAGACTTTGTCTATACTAGGGATGCTTTACCGGTACTAGGTCCTATCATGGATGCAGCTATACCAGCACAACTGCACTTGGTACCGGTAAAACTCTTTCCCCCCCCCCCCATGAAAGAAATAGGCTATACCTGTAAAAATGCAAATTTGCTGGTATATCTGCATCCACACTAGGAGCTTTTGTCAGCACAGATACGTTGGTCAGATATCACACCTCTTCAAAAGTCTATAGTGTAGACACAGCCTACGGGAGAATCTAACTCCTTTTATAGTTCTATATTGGAGCTAATGGATTCACATGGTATAGCTACCAGAGTGAGTCAGCAGTATAGCTGACATGAAGTCACATGATATTATCCTGGATGATGAATGTAGCAGAAATTAAAGCAGACTAAAATGGCATTACCATGTAAGATAGTCTTCTCCTCTCCAGGTTTATCATCTTCGTGTTTGCCCTTCTTCTGCCTCTTTGCTGTTATTTCATCCAACTCTTTCTGCTCTTCCTAGAAAAACAAAATACGGTCTTGACTTTTTAAAAGACAAAAAGCCAAAACTGACACTGTTTATTTACTAAAATTAATGTACTTGTTAAATACGAATATTAGAAATATTTTCCACATAGGAAAAAAGCCAATTACAAAAAGTAAAATTTTAACCAAAGCCAGAGCAGCTTAGAAAGTTATACACACTCTAGAAAGAATTTAAAAACAATGCATTCTACTCTTGCTTATAGGCTATAGCAAAGGCTCTCTCTACACTACAGCTTATATCAGCATAATTTATGTCACTCGGGGTGTGAATAAACCACTCCCCAGAGTGATATAAGTTACACTGACATAAGCGCTGGTGTGGACAGTGCTATGTCAGTGGGAGGACTTCCCCAACATAGCTACCTCCTCTCATGGAGATGGTTTTATTATGCTGAGGGGAGCGCTCTCTCCATCGGCATAGAGCGTCTTCACCAGACGCGGTGCACCTGCACCACTGCAGCGCTGTATGTGTAGACAAGCCCTAAGTGTCAATGATTGAAGAAAGGCAAGCCTGGTCTTTTTTCCTACTAAAGAGTATTTCTTGACTATTCTTTTTACCTAGCTGCTTCTGTTATCATACAGCAGCTACCCTCAGGCCAACAAAATAAATACAAAATCTCTTCTAAAGCCACTGTCCAAATTTTCAAACACACAGCACTTAAAGCACTATGTTCAAATGTATCATTGCCACAGTGCATTTGGTCTCCACTGGCCTATACTGGTGAAGTCACAAGATTTCTTCCATACCTAGGTCTCTGCCATGGTATGCCACTATGTTGCTAAATTCCTACCCAATACACTTTAAACAACGCTCACTTCTGAGGGCTTGGCTACTTCTTTCTCATCCACATATTTTGCCCATGGTCCCAGGAAGCCATCAATATTAGATGCATCGTTCTCTTTGAATTTCTTCCTTTTTTCTATTTTCTTTTGTCCTGTTTCAAATACTGTTAAACCTGCAGGAAGAAACATAACACTATAGACACTGACGTTTATGCAACATTTAACGTCAAGAACACAAGTCACTGTATTTTCAGTATAGAAACACCAAGTAATATCAGAAGGGAAGAGGTTTTCAGGATCACAATGCTGCTTCACTTACCTACTTATGACTGTAGCTAATTTAATCCAAAGTAACGAGGAGATGGGTAGGCTGCAAGATTCTAGGTATGGATGGATGGTTGTTATAAGTTACTTAATCATGCATGAGTCAAAATACATGTGAAGTCCACAAAAATATATTTATCATTACTCTTTTGCAGCCATATGAACACAGTGACTAGGCATTTTTAATTGTTTCACACTTTGCACTCTGTAAAATTTGGAAAACAATTGAGTCCAGACATCTTGACTTCCCTGAAAACTAAGCTTCTCTATTCCATGACCAGATTTTTTTTTCAAGATCACTCGCTAGAGAAATAATTAGAATCCCCAGTCATCTGCCCACTCTTCCTTCCCCACTTCAGCCCAAGCATCTTTCAAGTCTCACACTGAGCTGCACACATTCACTAACCTACCGGGAGTGCTAAGCTCTTTACGTTTACAAAGTAAAGTTTGTGTTTTCAGAATTTCATCATTGCAATATACAAACATTAAGAAAAATATTGAGGGAAATCAAAGTGACAGTGAGTTTTAGACATTAAAGTTTAGATTATGCATTAGTTGTACAAAACCCTTCATAGGATGATATATATTAGTGATTTTTAGAATAATGTGTACACTCAGAAATCCTAAACATTTGCTGCACATGAATCAGAAAGCAACACTGCCTATAAACAAAAGGGAAAGAGCCAGTGTACTGTCAAAGCAAACAAACAGTACATCTTATAAATAAAATTAGAGTTTTTAAAGACTTTAAATTAACTACAGATGTTATTAGTAACAGGTTAAGTTTTAATTTTAAGTACGACTTTTATCTTGACTGCCTCTCTCCCCAATGGAATTGTTATGTGAAAGGAACTCTAAAATCCTCAACTTCACTTTTAAAGGAGAAAGTGAAATTAAAGCCTTTTAAAAACATTATTTGAAAATAATGTAATGAATAAGGTACAGCAGTATGTATTAATTAAACATAGGAACAAATCTCAGGCTATATGGGGGGAAGATGTTACTAGTGAGAAGGTGTTTACATGAGCATAATTTCAAATGTAAAGAAACCACTTTACTAGAACTAAAAACATTTAATATGTTACATCAAAGTAGTAATTACAGGCTCTTCTGCCTCTGGATGAAAATCTGGGCTACCTTTTTCTTTTGGGATGTGTGGGGAGAACAGCTCCATTTTGCTAACTATTGATAACACAAAGTTGCAAACAGAAGTGTTAAGGCAAACTGGTGTATACATCATTTATCAGCTTACCCCGTATTGCTGAGTAGTATGATACAGCTGATTAACCTACTTTAAGCAGCTATTGCAATGCAGGAAAAGTACAATTTTAGCACAAAGCATGATGGAATAAGGATGACACTACAGCTCAACTGAACTCCAAAAATACTCCTGTTAAGTCATTTGTATATGAAAAAAATGTTCTATTCGAATGTCAAATCATAATCTGAAATCTTGTGCTAGAAAAAAATCAGATGACTATTAAAAAGATTCACATTCCAGAAAAAAACAAAAACAAAACAATGAGAAACACCCCTCTCCCCCCAAAAACTGTTCTTAACCTGACCATGGAAGGGAAACTACAGTTCATTATTGAGTTTAAAAAAAAAAATCCAACATTTCATCCTAGACTTCTGGTCTAAGGAGCATCTCTCTTGACACATCATCACAAACCTTTGTTAATATTTCCTAGCATCTCACGATAGCCTATTATTTATTTTCTATAAAACTGAAACAACAGAACAGAGTGCCATTAACACCATTTTGTTTTATATCCAATTTGACGTTACTTACCTTGATTTTTTTCAGCTTCTTCTACAGAACCAATGTATTTAGTAGCAACGTCCTGAGTATCTAGAGAGGGATCTAATGCATAACCTATAATAAAAGCAGAAATACCAGTTGTTAGCTGAAATTTTTGCTCTGCATATGTTCCCTGTGACTGATTCTCCTCTTTGTTCTCAGAGGACCTTTGCCCCAATATATCTTCCTCAAAGCCCTATATTTAAGATATCTTCCTAAGCCAAGAAGGACTGAATGAAATACGCTTTGAAGTCCATCAACTTTTCTCCCAGCCTAGCTACTGGATTTACTGCAGAGCATTGCCTGGTGCTCGCTTCCCACTAGAGTCTGAGCGTGTTGCTTCCAGAGCGCTCAAACCTCTTACAAGTTGAAGCAGTTGCTGGTCAAGTTATTGAACTCAGCCATGTGCTAACGTACCGAGTGCTAATCTCAGGAACAGCCCTAAAACTGAACTGTTACAGCAACATATTAATTTTTAAATTTGTACCATTCTGCACAGATACACAACGCGCATCCAAGAAATGCAACATGATAGTACATATTGCATTAAATAACTGGGAATGTGGTGTGAAGAACACAAGTAGATGGCACAACCTTTAATGTTATTGTAAAGATAAATAATTAAATCTAGTTTTTATGGAATAGGTACACAGAATATTTACGATCACTAATGCCATTTTTTTTGAGAAAGAGTGCACCCTTGTGGACATATAATGAATTTTAATTAAATATTTGAATGGGACAGTGTCCTTTGAAGACTCAAATAAGACCTCAGAATTCAGATAATTAAATCAAGAAAGCGAAGATGACCAACAAAATCCCCAGATAAATGCTAGAGCAAACACCACCACGCAGCACTGTCACATGACTTGACATTTTGCAGATCCGCACAGAGAGTACTAGGACACTAGAAAAGTCTCTCCATGGATATCCCTGCACCAGCACAATTATTCCCCCCTTCTCTTGGGCAAAGTGCACTGGTTCAGCAACACTCCCACTTTTTTTTAAATGCTGAAAGAGTCAATTGTTCTTTAAATGTCCAGAGGAGTCATTAGAAGAGCAGAGCAAAGCAGCAGATCTACTTTTGGAATCAAGACTTGTGCTTTGGTGCTTTAACTCTGATCTGACCCTACAGAGCACTCTATACTACAATATAGGAAAATGAAATATAAATAAATCTCTTTGTGATAAAATATGAAGCTCCATCATGCCTGTGTAATAACTTAGTAAAAATTATTCCAAGTTGTTACATAGATTATCTAAATGTTATACCATCATGTGATGAACACAATCAAGCTGAACAGACATTGCCAATTAGATTTACAGGACAACTGTCTGCTGTTACTGAGCCAGTCATCTAATGGGCTCCTCTAAGCTACAAGGTTTCTGTTATTAAAGCAGAGATTCTACTTTGGATACATGTCAAAATCAATGCAGTGGTTTCTTTGTCCTCGAGCTGTATTAACACCATCTCTGGGACTCATTTGCTCAGTAGTGAGAAGAAGGGACAGCAAGCCACTGAATGGAGCAACTGAGTCAAATTCAGGCTTCAGTGGGAGCCATGCCTACTTACAAGCAAGTTTGACACTGGTCCAGTATCTTTTCTTCTAGAAAAGCTTTTCTACTTTATAATGGGAAGTCTGCAGACTTCCCAATGCAGCTTCAACGGAAAGCGTTCTTTTCTCCTACTGCGTTAGCGTGCTAGGCATTCACATGACCTGCCCTGACTCACATCTTTCCTGCAATTAAAACTAGAGACATCAAGATTATACGTTGACGTTGATTGGAAAGGCACAATTCCACTCCACCTTAAATCTGAAAAAAGTTGGGGGTAAATAAGCACAAACAAGCCTAATGCACATAACAGAACAATTACAGATAAATAAATCTCTTTAAAGATGCACTCATAGTAGATTACTTCACTCTTGCAGAATGAAACTCCAAGGATGCGTATACTGAAATTTTAAACAACCCCAACAGAATAGGCAATTGAAAGACCTGCCAAAGTGAACTGTACCTTGACAGTGACACTTGAATGCAAGGATAATATACTTCTAATAAGTGTTATGTGCACACACTGATAGAAACACTCACTTTCTCATACTCTAGGGCCCTGTAAAAATTACTAGCCAAATCTTACTCCTATTTGGTGCTGGATCTGAGCAACAGTGCTTAGCGAACGTATGTAAAAGTCTTGCTTGTCCTTCAGACGTTACATGCACAACACTTTCGGAAAAACAAGCCCCTTTAAAGCATCTCAGGTTGGCCACCCAAAAATCGGAGGCACCCAAGATCAATAGTCACTTCTGAAAATTTAGGCATCAAACTACTTTTATGAAAATAAGTGAATCAGATGTCTAATAACTAGCCACTTAGACCTGGTTCTCTGATACAACAAGAAGCTACATCGAATAAGTCGGTCCGGGGGGGGCGTGAGGGTTTCGGCTGGGGGTGCGGGCTCTGGGGTGGGGCTGGGGATGCAGGAGGATGCTCCGGGCTGGGACTGAGGGGTTCGGAGGGCGGGAGTGGGATCAGGGCTCGGGCAGGGGGTTGGGGCACGGGAGGGGGTCGGGGTGCAGGCTCCGGGCGGCGCTTACCTCAAGCAGGTCCCGGAAGCAGCAGCATGTCCCTCCTCTTGCTCCTACCTGGAGGCACGGCCAGGGGGCTCTGCACACTGCCCCGTCTGCAGGCGCTGCCCCCACAGCTCCCATTGGCCGGGAACTGCAGCCAATGGGAGCTGCGGGGGCAGCGCCTGCAGACGGGGCAGCGCGCAGAGCCCCCTGGCCGCGCCTAAATGTGGGAGCCAAAGGGGGGACATTCCACTGCTTCCGGGAGCCACAGCACGAATGCGCAGAGCAACCCCCAACCCCAATCCCCGGCTGGAGCGTGGGAGCGGGGCAAGCCCCAGACCCTGCTCCCCAGCGGGAGTTCAATGGCCGGATTCAATCAGCTGGTGGGCTAGATGTCACCTACAGGCCGTAGTTTGCCCACCCCTGGTATAAGAAGTATGCCCCTGTCCCTTCCAAGAATGGGGACAGAAAGAATATTGCTGACAGGAAAGTTAAGTACTTATCTTAAGAAAAGTAGAATGAAAATATTTTGAGCCACAAAACTATTTGTTTTGTTTGCCAAGCAATATAATAAACAGGGTTTTAGTTGACTGAGTATTAAATTTTAAAGAATCACACATAAAACAAGATTGTAATTCTACGTATAGTAAATAGGTTAAATGGAAGGCACAGAATTCCCTCACCAATTCCCTTTGCTTCCTTTTACAAAACTATTTCACCTACAAGGCCCTCTATATTACAACACATTTAATTTGCATTTCTAGAGAAAAGTCACTGGTTAAACAAATGCCAGTGAACAAAATGGGCCCCAACAGCTGATGTAGGAGGCCTTTGAAACCTGCAACTTTGAAGCAGGGTTACTTTACAGATTCTTCCAATATGCTGAAGCGGAATCAGTTAGCAACATTGCTTCCCACCTAGATTTATATAGAGACAGCTACACACTTCTGCTCTGCTACTAATCCAATTTACCATGAGAAATTTTTATCTTCCCTTCCCAAAACTGAAAGGCAATTTTTCAAGGTAACGTTTTCTATGGACAATGGTACAATGAGACTCTAGCAACATATTTCAAGAATTCTGGTATGTTTTCAAGTAATTCATAACAAACTTGCTAATATGCGGAGACATCACAATTCTCATTTACTGCCCCTCCTAATGCTTCCGTGCTGGTTCTTCTGATTTACCGAGTCTAGCACAGCTTTTTTGCTGCTCCACTTCTGGAACCATCCCCAGAACAATACAAAGATCCTATGGACAAGGTTGCCACTATTTTCTGTTACTCATAAAAATAGGTATGTCTACACTGCAATACAAGACCTATGGCAAGGCCACGGCTGTCTCAGGCCAGCTCACTTGGGCTGGCAGAACTCGGGCTGCGGGGCTATAAAACTGCAGTATAGACGTTTGGGTGTGGACTGGAGCCTGGGCTCTGAGTCTCTGCAAGGGGGAATGTCTACACTGCAGTTTTATAGCCCCGCAGCCCGAGCCCGATGAACCTGAGTCAGCTAACATGGACTCAGACTCGGTGCTGCAGGTGTAGACATACCCAATGAGTTTCACACTTATAAAATAGTACTAATGGTAGCTGGTGCATATGGAAACAAGCAACAACAAACCAAAGAGGAAACTGAAAAAGAAAATTTGAAGATATACACATTAAATGGTAATTTATGACAGTTGAAAGAATTACTTAAAATTTGATACTTTATCCTCACGATTTTCTGGGTAAACATGGCTCACACTGACTCTAGTTTTCATAATTTAAACCTTGATGTCCCAATCCTGCAATTGATAGCACACAAGCAGATTGCTGCATGGCCACAGTGCCCCAGTGAAGTCCATGGGGCTCAGCATGTGGGCAGACTTTTGTGCCATGCAATCAATTGCAGGATCATGGCCTTAATAACACAGTTTAATTTAGAAAGCAATCTGCATACGCAGATCTTTTAAAACAGCGGTGGACTGAGTATTATATGTTATTTAAAAATTTGTGTGGAAATTTCAGAACCTGCCTGGTGGATAACTTATGCTCTTCAAACTCTCATACTTCACCAGAAGGAGGCCATGTCTACAGTACCACTTACATCGACAAAACTTATGTTGCTCAGGGGTGTGAATAATCCACCCCCCCACGCAATGTAAGTTACGCCAGCATAAGCACTAGTGTGCACAGTGCTACGTCGGTGGGAGAGCTTCTCCCACTGACACAGCTACCGCTGCTCGTTCGGGGTTGATTACTTATGTTGACAGGAGAGCTCTCTCCCGTCAGCATGAAGCAGCTACACAAGAGATCTCAGAGCAGCACAGCTGCATCGCTAGAGCAGCGCCACTGGAAGCTGTCTAGTGTTGACATCACCAGAAGCATACCAAATTAAACTTTATATTTTAAAAACTGATACGTTTTTAACAATTATAAACAAATGTTAAGAGAAAAAATAAAAGCCTTGTATGCTGAAATGTACAAGAAAACTTGTTAAAATTTCATGTAAATACACAGCACATTCTTTCTACCTGAAAAAGCTCAGAAATCCACTTGCTTTTACATATTGTATATTTTCTATGGCACTGTTTCAATCTGAAGAACAAGATCAAAACGAGCTTTATGCTTTTTCACAATGTAGCTATTTGAAAGCTAAAAAAAGGTCTTTGAGATGAATTAACTGGTTACTATGGCAATTGCCCATATGGATCTACATGCATAAGGAGATGAGTGCCTTTAACAAGAGCTCAAAGCTTCTAGCAAGCATCCTCTATGAGTCCATACACCCTCACACTGCTGAGACAGAAAACTTAAAAAAAAGGGTGTTGGCACCAACCACCCACCCATTTCCTTCCATTAATTCAGAAATCATGAACAAAATACTGAAGAAGTGAGGAAGGTGGGTGGGAAGCGTGGATCCATATATGCAACCATCATGAAGAACCAGTTGCTATGGTAAGTAGCTTTTTTAACTTTCTGATAGCTACATTGTGCTAGAATCATAAGCCTATTGTGGGTAGGTTCTGTCATATAATTTTTTGTCAATTTGTTAAAATGTGAAATTGTAATTTCTATCTTCTATATAACCACGACTAAAGGAGGGTTTAATTAAAGTGGTTCAGTAGGAGGTCTTGCATTTGATTAACATTTCAGAGGGAATAACTGAATAACATTTCCAAAATAAATGCCATGATCTATAACTGTGCAGATTCTCATTTAATATTATTTTGTAAGTCTGTTACAGGCCCAGCCACACATGTGACAGTTTAAGACAGAGATCAGCCTCAAGGGTTAAATATAAGGAGTTGTACGTCTTACCATAAGTTGCAAATGTTCTTCTCTGTTGTTCAAACATGAAATCATTGATGTGTGTTGGTTCTGCATATCCAGAAAGCATATTCCTAGGTGCAGCCATCTGCTGAGTCCTAAACGGGTTTTCTGGCCCAAACTGCATCAACAAAATTAAAAGTATTTAAAGGTTGTACACTATTCTAGAAGGAAATAGTTTCTTGCTAAGTATTTTGTAATCATCTATAACGTTCTATAGGGCACGAACTGTGTGACTTTCAAGAAGGGCAGTACATAGCGGCTTTAGCTTACTTTCCTTTTATGATTACTGTAACTGAATATATGTCAGAATAATATTTGTACATTATATTATATACCAATTAGAATAGGAGTTTCTTTACGCATTAAGTAATTTTCTTGGTGGAGCTTCTTGCCCACAGCACTGTTGGCAAGGTCAAGTCAATAAAAAAAAATTACTCCACACGCAAAACCTCCCATTAAATAGGTAAATAATTCAAACATACAGAAGAAAACAGGAAAGGGGGAAGGGGAAGCTAAAACCACATAGTATTATCTTTTTTTGAAAGTCAAACCCTAGAGAACTGTTGTACCAATATGGAAATTGCCTTGTAAAAATCTTTATCACTCAAAATAAAAATGTGATAATATATCAGCAGGATCAGCTGCACAACTACAGAATATAGACAATTCATACACAAATGCACATCTGTTTTCTAAAGAAAGTGCAGTACTATACAATTTTATATTTGTGTATTGGTTAAGTGAAGTATCACATGGTTCACAGAGAGTTACATAGGAGAGTTTACAGAATTGGATATAGTGTCTAGTTACAGCAAAGTGATGAGTTGGGAGGGAAGAGCTGAAATGCAAGAGCAGAAGTTTCTTTAGATCTGCATGGCAGATCTTGACTTGTATATTCTGCCCTATCTGAATGGATTTCCATGCAAGTCAATGGGCTCTCTCAAAATATGGAGAACAGGCATATGGTACACACAAGGGCCAGAAGTGTTTGTATGCATACACACGTCTGTGATGTGTCCCATAAACAAGCCCATTCTGGACTGGGCAAACAGAATGAAGCACAGGTAAGGCTCATCTAGATACTTACATACAAGTACAGATTAAGTATTCCCCATACATGGCAAGAGCACCAGTACTGAAATAGTGCAGAGCTGTCTCCCAATACTGTAACATGTCATGCTCATAGCACATGGATGTTCTTTTCCCATGTTATTCACTCCTCCCCAATTCCCAAGGAGAAATTAGAAACTGAATATTTTATCTGTATTTACCAAAGCAATCTCAAGCATTTTTTTAATGTAAAATTGACCACTACAAGTGATGCTACAGGTTTACTATGTTATTAGTCGATTAAACTAGAAACTCTATGGTTGTAACTTTTAAGACACTAAACTATCATATCTTACAGAGGCTGCATATTCTTGCCTCAAAACAGTTGATGAAGCCGAATCAAAAAGGATTTATTTTACCTCTGAGAACTCAAACCGTACTACTTATTGGCCATACATACCAAAATTGGCTCAAGCTTTGCAAAAAAATAACTTCCAGCTCTGAGCAGCTGTGATTTCAAGACTGACAGCTGCATGTATTAAAGCTAAGTATATTACCTTTTATACATGTTGCTTATTCCCCAAGGTGCATTCCTGTGCTGAATACCAATCTCAAGATTAAATTGTTTTTAAATGTAATAATTTGACACATTTTAGAGTGCAGATAATAGAATTAACCCAGCCTCCTCTTCCTTGAAAAAAGTTTCCTATTCTCTCCCCTGACTTAAAACCTATTTTTCTCATTTTTTTCTTATGAATTTCAAAAAGAGAGAGAATCATTTAATCCATTAGATTTTTTGTGTATACTCAATTCCCAGTCATATGCCAATAAAAGTCTTTAGTGCAGAATTCAAGTACGGATCAACAGAACCACTTCTGATTCTGTACTTGCTTGCCCATACCAGATCAGGCCATGAATCCAATTTGTATGTTATATTGTCTCCAGCAATACCTAACACCTTTTCTCAATAAAAAGAAAAAACACTCATAACTCACCAGCCAATTACACAATAATTACATAGGAAGAGAGATTTTAAGCACAGAAGCATAAGATTTGATTACCATTATCTTATCTTGAATATTACTAGTCATAAAATTATCCTGTCCTTTGAAGAAGAAAGGATGAAGCCATATTTTGATCAGATTCAGAGATGTGTTTCACATATGCAGCACCAAACGTACTCAGCAGGATTTACGCATGCTGAATGCAGCCCAGGATCAGCCCCTTAGGCTTGATCTCCTGTGGCAGTGGATTCCCCAAGTCGACAATATGCTGTGTAAAGAACTGTACTGGTTCTCAGTTTACTTCCTCATCACGAGACAGAAGTTAACAATGAATAATTAATTTTCACTGTGATATTCCATTTTACAGTTCCTGTCTTTCTAAAATTCTTGTTAGAGGCCTACAGCGCCGTTCTGTCTATAATTACAGGAAGGTGAGAGAACTGTGTAGACAGCTCTCGTTCCAGTCTCAGGGACTCCACCAGCAGTTCATCCCCCGCCTTAATTTTCTTTTCCAAGATGATAAAGAAGTAACTTTTCCTGAAGTCACCATGGACAAGATAGAGAAAGTATTTAATTAATAGGTGCAAATCAAGTGCCACACATTCACTATGACTTCTGTGCTTGCTGGCTCCAATCACAAAGCCTTGAACCTGTCCCACTTGACACCACTTGGGTTTCTTAAATCAAACATCTATGCAAACCAACAGCCATAAATTGAGACAGTATTGTTGTCTATTTGGCCCACTTAAAGTGCAGATTGCGAGCTTTTGTTTAAAATAGCGTCTAGCTCACATTGTTGCACAATAAGTTTTCTAAACAAAGCATAACTGATGCAAAATTTATGCAGAGTTGTCTTCCAATCTGCAGACAGCCTTTATTTGTCTAAATGTGACATTAATTCTTATACTGTATCATAACACTAAGGAGGTTTTCAAATAATTTATAGAATTATTTATACACAACTTGAAGGCTTAAACCATCTGTTTTAATCCTTCAGACAAATAGTTTGTAGGCTACTGAAAAACAGTTAAGATACAAAAACAGTTCAAGTTGTTTTGAAGAAGGCTAATTTTAACCCAAAAGAATTTTGTACACTGCATTCATTTGAAAAAAAAAAAAAAAATTGAAAATACTTGAGTTAAATATCATGACACGAATACTGCTTCTATTGGTAATACTGGGTTTTAGTTTTATACAAAACTATACCCATTTTCTATAACCTATAGATCTATACAACTTCTGGCAACTGCTCACTGATTAACATTATGAGTAGACATCAAAAGAACTGAAGACAGGACACTTCAGGATGTTCAGCCAGGTAATATCCTGTACTGGCTTCTTAACAGCACAATGCTCCACATTATTTGATTTCCATCTTTCCTACTCTATATACTCTATAGCAGGGATCGGCAACCTTTGGCCCGTGGCCCGCCAGGGTAAGGACTCTGACGGGCCGGGCTGGTTTGTTTACCTGCGGCGTCCGCAGGTTCAGCCAATCGCAGCTCCCACTGGCTGCGGTTCGCCGCTCCAGGCCAATGGGGGTGGCAGGAAGCGGCGCGGGCCGAGGGATGTGCTGGCTGCCATTTCCTGCAGCCCCCATTGGCCTGGAGTGGCGAACCGCGGCCAGTGGGAGCCGCGATCGGCCGAACCTCCGGACACGGCAGGTAAACAAACCGGCCCGCCCCGCCAGGGTGCTTACCCTGGCAGGCCGCGGGCCAAAGGTTGCTGATCCCTGCTCTATAGTTTGGTAGAGAAGAGCTCTTACGATTCTTCTCTTAGAATAGCTTTAAAATAGTTTAAAGTTATATTACAAATGTACATGACATCCTCAGGGTACCTGTTTGTGTTATGTGGTGTCTTTCACAGTTCACCCAAGTTCTTATCTTTCCTTTAAAGTCCAGAAGCTTGAGGCATCCCTGAATCTAGAGAGTACTTGAGGAACTCTATACATTTATATTTGAAGAGGACAGGCATTGCAATGTCTGAATTTCACATTAGAACAATTTTAACATGAAACATTCCTTTTAAGCCACATACATTTCTCAGTGGAATGCCAATTAATTTGGAAGACTAACATTTCTGGTTTTAATAAAAATCTTCTTACCTCTGGTGCAAACATGGTGTCGTAAGTGGGATTGTACTGAACTTCCTTGATTGCAGGATCGAGGTGGACTCCCGTCTCTACATCTTCCTGAAATACAGCAAAAGTGCTACTGAAATGTAACCAAAACTTCTCATATATAGCTAATCTAAAATACCGGATGCTAATTTGACTGTATGGGGCACAGTATGCTTTTTAAATTATACCTATGTAATTTTACTTTTAGTTCTGAAGAAAAAAAAAATATCAGGAAAAGCTTGGCGAGAATTCTTATTCATCAGTTCGATGAAGAACAAAAGTCTGACAAGTTTTTAATTAAGGCTCAACTTTACCGGTAAAGTTGTAAGCGCAATTAAAAAAAAACCCACACCCAATTTTCTAACATCTGCCCCCCTATACCCATTAGCCTATTGGAGAAAAAGCAAAGTACCTTGGGAAAAACAAAACAGTGGGAGCTTGGGAAATGTTTTAGAAGATATTTCTGTAGATACAGGGTTATTAGGAATTCCCTCCATCTATTAATTCTCTTTCACATACACAGCGTATAAACAGAACCCTATGCAAACTATCTTCCCTCCCTGATGCAGATGTCTTTGTAAAGATGCCAGGTACCAAGAATCTCTGTTAGTCACTATGTTCCCCTATTTTTCCTTCACAGCTGCCAAAGATTTTATGAAGTGACCAGTGATTTTGGTGCATAACTCAACATATACTTTAAAGGGGCCCAATTTTCATCCAGTGCTAAACATCCATCCTCTGAAAATCTGACATCTCAGTTGGGCACCCATATATTGAGGCATTAAAATCATGTATCACTTTTGAAAATCTTGGCCTCCATCCTCAACTCTACTTTGCATCATCCCTCCAAAGGCAGTCAACATTGCTTTTGAGCCAACTGTCTGGCTAAAGAGATTTTTTCACTCCCCCACATGGATGAAGTTATTCTATTTTATACAGGTACTTACACCACCCTCCTCACTGATAGTACCTGAGCACCTTCCAGTAATGCATTAAGCAACACACCTAGCATATTTCACATGTGGCTCATTCTTCATCCTCTCTCCAGGGGAAATATGTGTATGCAGTGTAGTGTTTTGTTAGGTTTAATTTGTATGCTTACACTAAAAACATAGGAATATGCACATATATAAGAAGGGAAGGTAAAAGTAGTATGTGTTGCACTGGGATCAGAAGGTGGAGATGTTTAGGATAGTCCTTGATCCCTGTGAGTTCATCCCACAATCTGGGACCTGCCCCCCAAAACACTCCATCTTCCTGCACAGAAAAGCTTTCCCTTATGCTCCAAAAGTCATTAACCGTGGTCCACATCCTGGAGCTTTGGATGATCTTTTATGTATTCTGGACTCAGGCCACTGAGAACCTTGTAGAGAAGGACCAAGACCTCCACAGCTTGTGGTAGCCCATATTGCTGAGGAGATACACTGCTATGTTCTGTACTAGCTAAAGTTTTCTAAGGCCTGATGGCTTCATGCCCAGGTGTATTGCATTGGTGCATTCCAGCTAGGAAGTGGCAAAGGCATATATAAGCAAAGCCAGATGATCATCCATGAAGATGGGAGAGAGTCTCTTTCCAACCAGAGGTGGTAGAAAGCATTACCTGTGGATGCTGCTATGCTTCAACGAAACAAGGATGTACCATAGCTGTAAGCTTTGTTGAACTGGGTACAAAAATCAAGTACTGAACTCTACTACCCCTTTATGATAATGGATTAGGTTATCAATGGACTGCTGGACCAGCCTTCCCTATTGACATTCTTGCCAAGACCATAACTCTCAGCCTCCTAAATCGCAGGCCAGTAACTAATACGACTAGGAAGTTTATCCATCCAGTGCTTTTGATTACTCTGGCATTCATTCAGTTTGGACAATGGGAAGATGCAAGGCAGACACCATGTGGAACACACACGTCGCTGAACATGCTTCTGCTGCTACTGATGCACATTTTCTCCCATTCTGAAGGCATGCTGTAATAGGGCTTCTCTCCTTGGAAATCTACATAGGGAAAGTTCTCGTGTTCAAGGCAGAAATATATAAATATATTTTTATATACATACCTCTTCCCTCACTTCCATTGGTTGGGCCAAAAATGAATGCAACAATCTGTATTTTTGCCCCAGATTATAGCACGTTTTTCCAGTTTAGTTGAGGTCAGTTAGTATCAAGCTCACAGTCCACATACACACCTCTGATTAGAAGCCTGCTCATTTTGCCTCATCCTCCCTCTGTTTAAATAGATCACCACTGACCCTGAAAGCATGTAATATTTCCACCATAATATCTTGGAACCAGATCCAGCATGCTCATCTTTAGGACATCTGTGTGGGAGGTGAACACCCTGGACAGAGCTGCTGTTCAAGTGAGGCTTCCTAGTCAACTGGCTGGCACAAATGGTTATCACCAGCCATGGGAAGCACTTTCTGCTAAAAAAAAAAAATAAAACAACCTATCTCTGTGGGTTGTTCTGATCTGAAACTTCAGAACATAAAAGGATAAAGTAGACATGAAGAGAGTTAACAGTTTGCCTTTATCTCTCAAAATTAGATAAGCTGCCTGGGCCAGGGATCTATGTAAACCAAGACTAATTCATCCTTATGCATTATAATTGGTCAAATTCAGCCCTGGCATAAAGACTGAGAAGCAGGTGCCACTATTGTCTTCAATGAGAGTTGCATCTGCTTATATAAGCTGAATATCATCCAGTTAACACAACATACCTTTCTGATTCTTGGGCTAAAGGATAAGAAAGTCAAAGTGACAACATAGCCTTCTCTACACTTTTAATGCTTTTCATTATGCTTACTTTTTAAGGAAATCAGAAATGGAGTGTTTGTTGACTAGTCCTCTAGATTCCTGTGGAACGATGATAAGTTTTACACATTTTCCATCTGAGCATATACAGTTCTTCAAATGGATATTACCAACAAAAGATAGACTTCCCTTGAGAGCTGTACTTAGGTTTTGCAAAACATCTTATTCTTTCTGAATACTTTTTCACTTCTGCCTGATTTGGATTTAGAAACAGAAATTATGTAATTTAGCCTTTATAAATTGCAAATTATTTAACGTGAACTAGAACAATGTTACTATGAGTGGCATATTGTACTCAGAGATGACATCTGACCAAGCTGATGCACTTGATCAGCTTACTCATAGGCTTGGATGAGAGCACACTGGCATCGACTCAATCCAAGTTGAGATTAAACTGGAAGGTCTGGAGATCCAGCCTAAAGAAAGAGATTTGACATCAGTTCCCTCAACTGGAGAGCAGGGTATGTGTGACAGGGGATATACCCATCTTGCTTTTTTTAAAGCATGAAACATTGCACCTGTGCTCCAGAATCTGCACTGGCTTCCAATTAGTTTATGGGTGCAACTTAAGATACTGTTTCAAAGCTCTAAAGTCTTAAATGGCCATGACTGCCTCCAAGATCACTTCTTCCCAACACTTTGGCCTGGTCCACACTAGGACTTTAATTCGGATTTAGAAGCGTTAATCCGAATTAACCCTTCACCCGTCCACACTACGGAGCCTGTTAATTCGAATTAAAGGGCCCTTTAAATCGATTTCTGAACTCCACCTCGACGAACGGAGTAACGTCAAAATCGATTTTGTTAATCCGAATTAGGGTTAGTGTGGCCACAAATCGATGTTATTGGCCTCCAGGAGCTATCCCACAGTGCACCACTGACCGCTCTGGACAGCAATCTGAACTCGCATGCACTGGCCAGGTAGACAGGAAAAGACCCATTAAAATTTGAATTGCATTTCCTGTTTCCTGTTTGCTCAGCGTGGAGAGCACAGGTGACCCCAGATACCTCAGCTCATCAGCACAGGTAACCATGCAGGCTGATAATCGAAAAAGAGCACCAGCATGGACCACACGGGAGGTACTGGATCTGATCGCTGTATGGGGTGAGGATTCAGTGCTAGCAGAACTTCGTTCAAAGAGACGAAATGCCAAAACTTTTGATAAAATCTCCAAGGGCATGATGGAGAGAGGCCACAATAGGGACTCAGATCAGTGCCGCGTGAAAGTGAAGGAGCTCAGACAAGCCTATCAAAAAACAAAGGAGGCAAACGGTCGCTCCGGGTCAGAGCCGCGGACATGCCGCTTCTACGCAGAGCTGAATGCAATTCTAGGGGGGGCCGCCACCACTACCCCACCTGTGATCGTGCAAACCGGGTCTGGGATAGTCTCTACACCTGAGGATTCTGAGGGTGGGGAAGATGAGGATGAGGAGGAGGAGGAGGAAGATCAGGATCTTGCAGAGAGCACCCAGCACTCCGTTCTCCCCAACAGCCAGGAGCTTTTTCTCACCCTGACTGAAGTACCCTCCCAAGCCTCCCAAGCCAGTAGCCAAGACCATGACCCCATGGAAGGGACCTCAGGTGAGTTTACCTTTTAAAATATAAAACATAGTTCAAAAGCAAGGTTTTTTAATGATTATTTTGCCCTGAGGACTTGGGATGCATTCGCAGCCAGTACAGCTACTGGAAAAGTCTGTTAACGTGTCTGGGGATGGACCGGAAATCCTCCAGGGACATTTCCATGAATCTCTCCTGCAGGTACTCCAAAAGCCTTGCCACAAGGTTTCTGGGCAGTGCCGCTTTATTCCGTCCTCCATGGTAGGACACTTGTCCACGCCATGCTTGCAGCAAGTAATCTGGTATCATTGCCTGACAAAGCCTGGCAGCGTATGGTCCCGGTGTTTGCTGGCATTCAAGCAACATCCGTTCTTTATCTCGCTGTGTAATCCTCAGGAGAGTGATATCGCTCATGGTAACCTGCTTGAAATATGGGAACTTAATTAAGGGGACAGAGGTGGCCGTTCCTACTGTGCTGTTTGCCTGTGGCTGATAAGAAATCCTTCCCTGCAGTTAGCTTT